AGAGGAGAAAAGGAAGGATAGATAAGGTAGGTAGCAAGTACCCAAGGTAGTGTTTTATAGGAAGGATTGATTGATTGATTGATTGATTGATTGATTGATTGATTGATTGATTGATTGATTGATTGATTGATTGATTTATCGATTTCTCTTTCCTCTCGAGTGTAACGACATTCATCTCCTCCCTCCCTCCCTCCCTCCCTTCCTCCTCCTCCTCCTCCTCCTCCTCCCCAATGCAAGCCGCTCGACCGACCGGTCAGTCGTCGACTTCACAGATAGCAAGAAAAAGGAAGAAAAGAGAAAAGAAAGAAAGTATCCAACAACAAAAACAAAAACAAAAACCATAATCTCACAGATGCATGCAGTGACGACTGGGCTTCATTTTCATTTTCATTTTCATTTTCATTCCTATCATTTCACCTCCCCCTTCCCCCCTCCCTCTTCCCCTCCCCTTTCCCCCGTTTATCTCTCCACTCCTACTCCTAACAACTAACTAACTACCTACCCTCCCGGGCCCTAACCTTCTCAATAGCGCGAAACAAATCCTTCATATGAAAAGGTTTCGTCACAACACAATTCATTCCGGCTTCCAAAGCTGCCGTTTGTTGTTCTGCTCGAGCGTTTGCTGTTACTCCTAATATGGGTAATTTTTTACTGGTGCTGCTATCGCTGCTGGTGGTGGTGGTGTTACTGGTGATGTTACTGGTGTTGATATTTTTGGTAGAGGAGGAATTATGTGTTTGCGTCTGTTGTTGCTCTCGAGATCGGATGATACGGGTGCATTCGAGACCGCCCATGATGGGCATTTCTACGTCCATGAGGATGACGTCGAATGGTGGTGGGGGTGGAAGAGTTTGGTGAGGAGGAGATGAGGTAGGATAAATGCACTCGAGAGCTTCTTTGCCGTGATTGGCGACTGCGACTTCGAATCCTGCTCGGAGAAGTTGTTTTCGCATGACTTTTTGGTTGATGAGATTGTCTTCGACGACGAGCAGTCGGACTACTGGTGTTGGCAAGTCGGAGGGGGAGGAGGAGGTCCCATTCGTGATTGCTTTTTCGGGTGGTGACTTCACTGGGAGCTGCGTGTGCGTGTCCGTGGGCTCCTTGTGCGCACTCGGCAAGGGGCTCATGTCAATTTTGACTTCGTCCAGAGAGACTTTACGAGCCGTTTCGACATTGTTATCCGTCTCGATTTGCTGCTGTTGAGCAGTGGGAGATGCACATCTCGGTGCTTGAACATAGAATGCAAAAGTCGATCCATGAGTCGACTTGTCACTGGTGACAGTCGACGCGACTCCGATTTGACCTCCGAGTTTTGCACATAGCTCTTTCGATATCCAAAGGCCCAGCCCCGAACCTCCATATTGAGCGTACGTCTTGGGTGAAGCCTGTTGGAAGCGTTGAAACAGATGATCGAGTTCATGTTGCATGATTCCGACTCCAGTGTCCTTGATAGAGACATAGATGTAAATACCATCGCGAGGCGTCCGAGTTCCATCGAGCAGTGTATCGCTCAGGTCCACAGAAGATTGCGCGCCATGGCGTGGGGTGAAAGGAGCAAAGACCACTCCATACTCCTTTCCGGTGGGTCGGGGATAGCAGGCCTCCAGTGTCACAGTGATGCGGCGTGAATCTTCGTGCTTGGTGAATTTCACTGCGTTGTTCAACAAGTTTACTAGAATCTGCAAGAAACGAGTGGGATCTAGAAGAACCCACTCGACTCCCAATTCTCCATACGATGAGCCCACTCGATAATCCAGCTCGACGTTGCTGCGCTGGAGCTCGTTGTGGAACATCTTCAAAGCCTGATCGACGACTTCTATAGGCCGCATGGGCATCGGACATGTTTTCAGCATTCCAGAGTCCAGCTTGCTGAACGTCAGCACATCGTCGATGATTCTAAAGGGGGGGCGAAAGTCAGTAGTGGTCTCACAACATGGCGAAGCTTTTCGAGCTGAGAGAGACCTCACCTCTTTTGATGCCGAGCACAAGATACAATAATGTCGATGCTCTCCAGCAGCGCCGTTGCCGTCCGTCGTGGAATCACCAGATCATCGCCGTCCCCGTCGAGAATCTCGCGCACAATGGAATTCAAATCGTCCGCACACAATGTAATGGCGGCGAGCGGATTGCGAGCCTCGTGTGAAGTCGTATCCATGAAGGTTTCTTGCTGCCGTTTTCTCTCCGTCTGCTCTTTGAATCGCCTTTCTTGAAAGCCTTCCATCCACTTTTGTCGGGAAATGTCCACGAGACACCCAAAGATGCCCGTGATCCGATCCGTCCGCGAGTCCATTGTATCATCATGAAGAGCATACGCGGTGATGAGCACCCACGTCTCGCCTTCCAGACGCTCACCCGCATATGTTTCTTGCGTACTGTATGGCCGGTCTAGGCGACACTCGAAATTGACATCCAGCCCTGAGAAGAGCTGGCTCCACTGCTCCTCAAACGCTGCGCGGTCCGACTCTGCCAATGCATTCGACAAAGACATGCATTCTTGAACAGCTTCCGGCTGGTATCCAGTGAGCTCGATCCAGTGCGAATTTGCGTATAACAGTTTTCCCTCGGGACTGAACTCGAAAATGCCAATGGGCGCGAGATCAGCCATCGACCGGAATCGCAACTCACTCAGCTGGGCTTCATGCTCACTCGCCGCGAGCTTCTCTACTAGACGTATGCGGTCTTTGGCAGCCATTCTCGCCGCGGCTCTTCCGCGTCTGGCCTCGTCTTCTGCCGTCACGAGAGTCGACAGAGTGGTGGTGAGTTGATGATGGAAGAGTCGAACAAACCTTCTGTAATGCTCATCATAAGGACGTCGTGGATTTAGTCCCAGTAAAAGGAATCCGGAGCGATGTTCCTGATAGCTAGACCATATGGGCAGCAGAACAACGGTACAGCATGCTTCTGCGTCCCAAACTCTAGATTTGGAGGCTTGTTGCAGGGGAGCGGCCATATCTGCCAATTCCAGAATCTGAACAGTCTTCGTGTTCATTGCCGCTCGGAACAATGGTGTCAGTTCCTCATTGCCAGAGTCGAGGTCGACGGTAGCAGGTAGTATTCCCGGCGGCGACCCACCCAGGACCCCTTCGAGTGTCCATTTCGTGCCAGCGAACACAGAATCACCCTGAGAAATCGAGCTGTCATGGTCTTCCACTTCGACTTCTTGTCCCCCTAGGAACTGCGCTGCTCGGGCCGACTTGGTGAGAGTGCAAGGTCCATATAATGCCACAAAGGGCGCCTCGAATGGATTGTCCTCAAGGGCCTGTAGGACTTGACCCCAGAACTCGTTGACACTTCCCGCTTCGCTTGCCGACTGATCAAGGCTCTGCAACGTCTCCATGCGCCTGTTATTCAGCATCTCCTGTGTCACATCCGTCGCAGTATTGTAATACCCCATATTTCCGCCCGGACCCGGCAACGGCATCATTTCCCACGATGCCCATAGTTCCAGCTTCCGGTCGTCGTTTCTCTGTATAAAGAACTGAGCGTGATCGCCAGAGGAGGGCTCACCAGTGCGATCTGCAAAGTCAAAGGACTGGCCAAATGGGGCCTCGAGGAGTTCTGGCCAGACCTCTGCAGCACTTTTCCCCATGCATCGTGGATGTCGGTGGGCAGCAATTTGCACGTATACTTGGTTGTAGATGGCAATTCTTTGCGGTCCCCACCATAGACAAGCGGCTCTGTTGTCGGCGTTGACCATGTTTACGAAACATCGTAATGAGGTGGACCAGCCGGCCATGGGGCCCAAAGGCGTGGAGGACCAGTCGAAGTTGCGTATGAAGTGAACATGGTCGGAGACGGGCAAATCAGGAGGCAGAACATCCTGTGTGATATCGAAGCGGCCACAGGCCAAGCTCTGGACAGGTGGTACTGTCACCGCACTGCTCCATTGCTGTTCCTCGTCCGGAGAGGGCACATGCTGCTGCTGCTGCTGCTGCGCAATCTCATCCCTCGTCGACTGTCCAACGGCTCGCAGCGCTTCCGCCCGACGGTGCAATATATCTTGTAGCCATTGAGAATCATGCTCTTTGAGGTAATAGTAATTCGAGTCCATGGCCGGCGTGGCGGGATCTATCGCAGAAACTCGTGCTCGTGCCGCGTGCGAGGTCGCTCATAGTCGCTCCGGGTGGGTAATCAGGATAGGTTTCAGGTAGCTGTAGTATATTACTAACTCAGGACAGTACAAAGGTCCAGTGAGGCATTGTAGTCCAGTGTATAGCTTGTGATATATTGGAACGAACGAGGAGAAAGTGTTTTGATAGTTCCCACTGCCAGCCAGCCAGCCCAGCACAGGCCGGAGACAGCAGCAGCAGCAGCATTCGCCTCTTCCGCAGTGGCTAGCAACATATTTCGAAGCATAGCGCTAAGTAGACTTGCATCAAAGGCAAAAAGTGTCAAACGACCTCGGCAGTAAAGTCTAGAACGAACCAAAAAAGGCTTTCGTTTGCTGCCCTGATTTTTTTTGTTTTCTTGCCAGCCAGATTCATCTCCCGCTGGATGTCGCCGAAGCGAAGGGGGTCAGAGCCATTGAATCCGGGTCTTGAGCGGCCCGCATATCCGCCCTTTTTCACATGCATAAAGATACAGTATCTATGTAGATGAATGCTTTTGTCCTTTCCATCTACCTACTTAGGAGACAGTCTAGTACTTCTGTTACCAACACTCCTTATAATATCCTTCCTATATTACAGTATAGAGTACGCAAGTACCGTCAAAAGAAGCCTTTTGTATACTAAGAAGAAAAAAAGAAGAAAAAAAAAACCAATCCTCGAGATCCTAGATATTCACCAACTATAATAGTATTTTGACTTACCGATACACTCTTACAAATTTGCCCTCTCTATCGAATAGATATACAAGGTACATAACATAGTTTAGTTCCTACTCTTAAGGATCTCGTTTTACTTACCGTACTATACCTAGGTACCTATCTATTCTCGATAGAAAGAAAAAAAAATCTAAACTAGTTGCAAAAGCTCTATACATACATACTATACGGTACAATCGATCCCTCTCTCTATCGTCGTCGTCGTCGTCGTCTCGTAGGCCTCTCTAGTATAAAGCAAAGCAAAGTATAGCCTAGTATAATCCGAAAGAACAAGCAATTCTCGTAAACATGTTCCTAGTAACAATTGAATAGCTAAAGCAAAGCAAAGCGTCAAGAACGTTTCATCAACGCGTTTCTATTAGGAATTCTATATATCTGTCTTAACATATATACCAACCTTACCTACCTGATCAGATTTAGGCATTGCCCGGTTTCTAGAGGTTATAGGTACGACGGGAGTTTTCAAGATAAGAAGATACGGTGGATAAGGAGCGAGGATTTTTGTTTGAGTACCTAGAGGGATATGATTATGAACAATAGAAAAGAAAGAAAAATGGAAGCGGAAGGGCGAAGAGCGAAGAGTAGATGAAGATTTCATTTTCTTGTTTGCGAAGTGTTTGTTTATTCTTTTACTTTAGCTGACTGTACCTCTACCTCTTGTATATGTTGTGTACTTGGAGGGATTGATACTCGTGAAGTTTTCTTCTCTTATCTTCTATCCTCAGGGTATATAAGCAGCATGTCATCGATGAGCGGGACAAGGAGTGTTTGCCTTTTCTTATGGAATGTCATGTTGCTATATAACGATTCTCCAATGTCTTCATTTCATTTCTGTCACAGTCATAGCGATCAAGTATAGGTAAATAGGTAAATCAACATAATACCCACATCTCCCTCATCAAGTACATACCTATAAAAAAACAACTCCTCAATGCGCCGCCACCGCCTTCCCACCACTCCGCCACTCCCCAATCGTAAACTGACTATTACACATATTCGTCAACTCCCACGTCTCCGCCTTCAACTCACCCGCCTTCTCCTCCAAATCCTCCCAATCCCCGGCCGCACCACTAACAAAGCACGCCGCCATAAAATGATCATCCGTCGCATGCGCATCCCGATACTGAGGATGTTTCATCAACCTCGTCACCGCCCTGCGCAAATTTGGCCCACGATTATTCTTCATCACATCTTCCACACTTTGCCGGAATTCCAACGCCCACCCCTCGGGAGGCGCTTCTTGCGCGAAATTGTCGCGGTATTTGAGCATCGGTGCCCATTGATTGCGGTAGAGATTGTGTACGGCTCCCCCCGTGCCGATGATGAGATAACCTTGTGAGCGGAGGGGTCGGAGGGTCGAGCCGACTCGCATGTGGAAGTGAGGATCGAAACGGGCGTTCATGGAGATGATTGTTGTTGGAGGACATTTTGTGGGAAACATTCGAATGAGAATGAGATATGTATCGTGAATCCACTCGAAGGAATCGTGAGGAGTCACGTTAAAGCCTTCATCTTTGAGCAGTTTCATGCATTTTTCGCCCGTGGGTAAATCTGCGTTGAGGTGGTAGTTGACGTATTTGGAAGGGTGCACGTATGCCACGGGGGATTTTCCCGGTTTGGGGTTCATGGCGACTTGGATTTCGGTGCCCGTGGCGTCCCAGTGGGCGCCCATCATGATTACGCCTTTGATGTTGTTGGCGAGGGCTTCGTCGCCTGCTTGTTTCCAGTAGTCGGCTGATGTGGACTCTTCGCCCAGCATCATCGTTGAGCCGTGCGAGAAGAAGTGGACTGGTGGGAGACCTGTGCATGGTGGTTAGTGTGTCTGTAGAGTACAGGAGATTGTGTTGTAGACTGACCCATTGTGATAGGAGTATTCTGTGTGTATGATGAGCTGGACAAGATGATGATGATGTTGTTAGAAGAAGTCAAGACAACAACATGAACTAAGGTAAGGTAATAACACAGTCGGTTTGATAGACTCCTTGTTAGCGTGTACATAGTGGCGAGTGGTACCAGCACCAAAGCAATTGATGATCCCCCCCTCTCCTTTCCGTGAGCGCCCACATTTCTCCGAAGGTTAAGTTCACAACTCAACAGAGTCAAAACACCCTTTTTGCCACCCCGGACGACCCGGCCCCGTGTCCTAGCACTTTTGGCATTATGCGGAGTGAGGGAATATCCATACTTTCTTCTGTTGGTTCGCTTTTTGCCGATTTCTTCCTCCGTTCAGGATATACCTCAAGTACTTGTATTTTCTTCACTTGTATAATCCTACCCTACAAACCCTCCAGCATCCCGAAAATATAACGTACTAACATCCTTCTCCTTACCCTTAATAGCCTTAACAAACTTCTTAGCATTATCTCCAAACAAAATAATCGCGAAACATACATTCCGCCACGGAGCTTCCCCTAACTATAGATGATATATGACCTATGCGTTCTGTATTTGGGATACTACCAGTGCTTTTGAAAACTCGCATTTGCTCCCGGCTTCTCGATGTTTGAGGTATTGCAGCTGCTGCTTACATTTTTCTTTCTTATTGTTTTTCTTTTTTTTTTTTTTTTTTTCTTTTTTGTGAATGTCTAGGGACAGACGTTTCTTAATATCGATTAATCCGGGTGAATTCACCTTGTGAAAAATGCAGTTTTTTTTTTCTTTTGGTCGGTAAATGTGTCCATCATCCAATACCTCCGAGGGAGGCAGTCTTGAAGGGTTTTTTTATTTTTTTGCTGTAATGTATTTTAGGGTGTAGGCCAACCACCAGTCGGTCAATACCTAGGAATGTGCTTTTCTTCACTGACGTTACCGTCGTCGAAAAATTAGGAGGTAACAGGACTTCTGTGCAGTTGGGAGGAACAAGTCCTTGCAGAGAATGTAGATGTCCTGATAGGAAATACAGGTACTACAAATCACCCTTTTTTCTACATTATCGATGAATGCCCCATCCACCATCTGTATCTAGTGCTTGTTACGCGGACTTTGCCCTCGAGGACATATGCTCATTCTGCTTCCTTGTGCCAAATAAATGCATCTTGATGATAATGATGATTATTGGTATAGGAGGTAAGGAGATGAGATTTCCCATCTGTCACTGGTCTATGTATGTATATGCTTCAAAACCTTTTGAGTTCACGGCTCCATATTCTCTTATGCCAGGGACGAAGTCTGCCCACGTCATTGTCCAAAGTTTCCACCGGTATACATATATGTAGTGCAGCCGCTTGCTGCGTCGAAGTAAGGTGAATACCAACAACTCCATCCATACGCGACGACCGACTTGGCTTGATTTTTTTGGGTGTTATTTGTCGTAGATTGGTGGCAGTAGGACGGTCGAATACATTTTATTTAAAGGGTTTTTTCGAGCTGCCTGCCAGCCAACCACGCGACAATAGCAAGAAGAACCGCTCCGAAACGCCATCGACGATTTCTTCAACAAGCATACAAAAAAGGCAGCAAACCGCTCGATCTGCTCGATTTTTCCGTCTCTCAGAGGAAAAAAAGGGGGAGGGGCAGCTCAAGATTTTCGAATATCCATCAGAAAAACGCGTTGTTGTTGTTGCTGCAGAGACTCTTGCGGAGGAACCAACGAAACAAAAGAAAGCAAAAAAAAAACTCTTGGCCCGATATATCCATTCTATCCGATTTAGCCGATACCATTCCACCATCATGTCGACCTCCAACAAAAACAACAACAACAACAACAACAAAAACTACGGATCCACCGCCCAAAATCCAACAAGCCTCACCAACACCACCCCCCTCCTATCCCCCTCCTCCCCCCTCCTCCCTTCCACCACCACCAAAAAATCCTCCCTCCTCCTCCACCATCTAACTCAACCCCTCTCCCCCACCCATCTCGACCTCCTCCTTCTAGTCTGCTACTTCCTCACCGGAATCCTCGACAGCAGCGCAATTCTCACTCTGGGTGCTTTTGTGTCTATGCAGACGGGAAATACGGTCTATTTTGGTTCGGGGGTGATGGTACCTTTGATTACGCTGATGCAGACGGGCGGAGAAGGGGGTAATGGGGATAAGTGGATTCGAGCCGGAATTTCCGTGGGCAGTTTTTGTCTGGGGAGTTGGGGGTTTGCGAGATTTCATTGGTTTTTCGCGGAGAAGAAGAATAAGAAGAAAAATGGAAAGGGGGAAAAGGAGGAAATCCCCAAAACTCGCTGGTTGATTCTTTGTTCGATTTTTTTTCAAATCGTGCTTTTGGGGATTGCGGGGGTGGTTATTCCTTCTACAACAAACATCCAAGGAAACCACCAGCAGCACCAGCACCACCAGCAAAACCTCCCCCTGGATTTGAATTTTCCAGTAATTCTCGCTCTAATCCTCATATCCCTCCAATCCTCCGGCCAAGCATATCTCTCTCGAATTTTCGGCTACAATTCCCTCACCAGCGTCGTTTTAACTTCTATTTACTTAGACCTATTTTCTGATCCACATCTCTTCTCTCATCATCGCGAGGGGAACGGGGAAAGATATCGTCGAGTTGCGGCTGTTGTGTGTTTATTGGCGGGTGCGATGCTGGGGGGGTGTATGGTGAATTTTGGGCTGTGGGGGGGCTTGAAGGGGGCGTTGTGGGTTGCGGTGGGGTTGAAGGGGGGGGTGGGTTTGGGGTGTTGGGTTTGGAGGGGGGTGGTGGTGGAAGAAGAAGAAGAAGAAGAAGAAGAAGAAGAAGAAGAAGAAGAAGAAGAAGAAGAAGAAGAGGGGGAGGAAGAGGGATGAAGAGAGAGAGATTTATATATTTGCTGGAGAAAATTTCTTTGATCACATATATCCATCTACCTAGATGCTCTTCCGTAAATTCATTTCATCTACTTACTTCTTCTCAGGAATCACCGGCAAAACCACATAATTCTCCATTCCCTCTCCAAAATGAATATGATTGTCCCCCGCAAAAACCTCCTCACTCCGATCCTTTTTCGAATTATGTTGAAAAATTCCACTTCCTTGCGTATCTCCACTTCCCACCTCCAACACCAATTTCCCTCCCTTCTCCACCACGACATTCGTCGGCCAAATTTCGACATCGACCGTATACACTTCTCCTGCTTTGACTTCTTGCACATCTGTACTCTTGTATTCGCGATACGGCATATATGGCTGATTGCGAGGATGGTCGTCGGCGATTTTGCGAAGACTGACGCGCAACCAACCTTTGGTGAGGGGTACGGCGTCGCCGGCTGTGCCGGTGTAAAAAACTTCTTTGCCGGCGGGGGAAATGTGGCGGAGGGTGAGGAAGAGGTCGATGTCCGAAGGCGGTTTTCCTCCTGCTGCGGCCGAAGCGGATACGGAGAGTCGTGCGACGACGTGGCCCGTGATTTCGGTCTCGCTTTCAAAGGGTGCCGTTGTGAATTGGACGGCTTGGGGGTCGTCGAGTGTGCCGAGAGCTTTGTAGGTGACTGGCTTGGCGGACGACTGGCTCGCGGGAGCGTCGGTCTTCAAGGACATGTCGGGCTGGAGGTGGTATTTGGTATACTGTGTGCGAGCAATGGGCCATTCGTTTTCGGTGCGGCGAGGAAAGGCCTTTTCGGCTTTGGCATCGTTGAATCCCACGTCTCCTTTGCGGAGTACCAAGTCCACGGGAGGAAGTTTGCCCTTTTGCGACCATCCGACACGATCATCACCCTTGAGGAAGGCATCCAAAAAGGAGCGCTGCAGCTCGACTTCCTCCTTGTAGTAAAAGGGCAAATCGTGGCGACCAGTGATGAAACGAATGTATTTCAGCTCACTTCCCGCATTTTCATAGCCTTGGACATTGCCTCGCAAATGCAGGAGAATACCACCCCAGTTGGCCACAGAAAGCAGAGGGACCTTGATGTCTTGCAGGTTGAATTCTTTGCTCGCATAGTAGTCCTCGTCCCGGAAGCGGTAGTTCTCGTTATCAATCGTTTGGTCCCGTCGATTCTTCTCACGCTCCTCCTCGGACAAATCGCCCTCGAGCGTATCCGGTCCCCAGTTCTTGGCCTTGCGACCCGGTCGGCCATACTGGTTCGTGATGACCTGGCGGTTCCACCAAAACGCGATGAACTTGTCACTCAAAATGCCTCCATGTCTGCATCGGTCACGGTAGTAATCACTCATACCCTCCCACGGAATGATGGCAGACAAGCCCTTTGGCTGACGAGCTGCCACACGCCATTGCGTACCAGCATAGTACGATATGCCCAACAGACCGGTTTTGCCAGACGACCATGGCTGATCTGCACACCATTCGACAACTTCATAAAAGGCTTCGGAGGTGCCTTTGGACATGGTGTCGAGGAAGCCAGGGGACTGTCCCAGACCCCGCTCGTCTGCTCGGACAATAGCATAGCCTTGCGATGTCCAATAGCCCGGATCGGGCGTCTCCCACGCCGAGTGTGTACTTTTCTGCTCGGGGTTCAGTTCGGCAAAGGACGAAGGGAAAAAGTTCTCATATGGAATGTCTTTGCCATATGGACCGTAGGTTACGAGCACGGGAACAGGCTTGTCGGTCTTGGGGCGGTAGATGTTCACACGGACCAGCCCCTCGGAAGACTTGAGCGTGATGGTGGCATTCTCTTCGTAGATGTACGGGAACGAGTCCTTATCGACCTTGTGGAGGTCTTGAATTTTGTTCGGCATATTGAAATGGAGTTCTCAACGAGAATGGTGGTAGGCAGAGGGTGGTTGAGTCAGTCCAACGTTGTCAGTGCCAACTCAAGGGCATACACTCTGGATTAAAGCAGTTTTGTGAGACGCGTCGGCGGACGTGTCGGCGAGAGCTAAATGCCGGCTCATGGAGCTCTGGTTCCACTTTGGCATTGTAGCGGTCGATGACGGAGCTTCCGAGCTTCTCCAGGCCCAGTGGGACTTCCGGCTGTCCACATCTCCCACCGGATCGGGGTCGACAAGCTTTTCGATCAAGCTTGCTATGCAGGACGAGTGAGGCTATTAGACGACATACCACCGTAGTACCTTGGGAGGTAGGTATGAGACACACGGCTGATGGGACAACACTTCTATTGGCCAACACTGCAGTCCCCCCGTCCTCAGGGGAGCATACACCCACGGTAGTCGATAGGTATGGACGGTAGTCTAGGCTGGGGCTCTCCACACTCCACACTCCCCTCTCCTGATCGACTCCAGATCTACAACGTTGTCGTAAAACTGTCGCAACGGTAGTGCCAGCCATTGTCTATTCTATAGTTGCTATTCTGTAGTGCATCCCGCAGTATATGCCGTGGCTGGCACGGACACATGCTCTGGAGAGAGACAGAGAGAGAGGGTATCTAAATCATAGTAGTCCAGTACGTTGTTACCGGGAGGAAGTTTGGTATATAGACCTCCTTAGTCGCGTCTCGAGTAAGACATGCGTTGCTCGATTTCGTCTCCCAAATGCAGCGTCGGCGAGAAGCGCGGTGTTGCTTGGGTACCTATGTCTGAGTCGGGGTCCCATACTTTGGCTGTTCGTCACACTTGTGTGGAAGTCATTTCTTCACAAAGTCATCCTCGCACGGATAATTCATGACAATGGATGTGGAGTGTTCCTTCTCACGAACACTCTTGAGGTTGATGTCACCGGATACTGGCATCCGTGTCATGGGAACTGTGGGCCAAGGATCATTTGTGAAATTTATTGCTTCACTTTCCCGAGAGCTTTCCAAGTTCGCTAATCAAATTCACCAAGTTCTCTACCAAAGGTGGCAACCCATTCCTACTTTTGGGGAAATTGTTCTTCAAAATATCCCCCGAGATGAACATCACTCCCTTGGAGTTGTGTAGTGAGCAGAAGTTCATGGCTTCATTCCAACTCGCACCCTCTTGCGGTCCATGTCGATTTCTGAGGCCCGCCTCGCCCTGCCCGATCAGTTTGAAGGATTTGGCGGCCTTGTCATTGTCATCGTCCAGGAATACTCGATTGACCGGAGCGAGCATGTCGTGAGAGGTATCGGTGGACGGCTGTACCCCCGGCATGGGCGTGGGTTCGCCACTCTTGCGTGCAGTGTTGGATGTGACCATGCCATAGACCCATAGCGTCAGGGTCGCCTGGTAGACCGCCACTGCGTAAAAGTCTCGCAGCCTCGTCTGCTCAAAAGTGCGAGCGACACGCAGTACTTGGCCCGCATGCCAGACTGCAATCCTTGCCTCCGAGTCCTGAGTCCATGTACGAATGCGAGGGTACACTTTGCGCGCCTCTTCTTCTCCCGACTTGCCGGAGAACAGTAGGATGTCTTCGAGTGAAACATGCAGTGACATGATTAAGAATTCAATGGTAAAGAGAATCTCGGGTGCGACACTCTGTTGTGTCTCACAAAAGGCGTGTACGGTCATGAGGTCGTCTAGAAGATCTCTCTGTCGATGTTGATATGCGAGCCAGCGATCACGTCGACCCTGGGCTTGCCAACTCGCAAGGAGGACGGCCTGTTGCCTGCATTGCCACACTTCGTGGGCGAGCGCGTGACATGCGGCCAGCGTACATAATGGCTTGTCGACGACGTTGCCCAATGCGTCGAGCTGTCCAAGATTGCCGAATATCTCCATCATAGATGGCATTGCACTCTGCGAGGGCGGTTGTCTCGCGATCCAAATATTGCGCCAGGCTTGCGAATTCGGGGCCAGCCACAGATCGAGCGTCATGGGCGCAGGAAGCATCATTTGTGCAGGTGATACAAGACGATTCTTCAAATGCGTAGTGGCCACTTGAGAGTCATGCAGGAATGTGTGCAAGACCAGCCTTTTCAGCCCTTCCTGCTCGATCCACGAGCGCCATTTCTGATCGAGAGCCTCATCGTCATCCTCCGGATAGGGGATGATATCCTGATAGCGAGATCGTGTGAAGGCGCTTGCCCAGGTCAGCATAGTCGCAGCAGGTTGCAAAAAGGAACTCGCAATTTCAGTCTTTCGCCGGAAACCGCTCCAGATACCAATGTCGAGCCATAGCATATAGGTTTGCAGAGACTGGATGTCTCGGGTGGCACTATTGTCGGCTTCAAAGACTTCTGCCATTGCCAAACGGACCACTTCCTGGATGATGAGCCCCATCTTCCACACCGGCGGGAGTGCAACGTAACGAGCTCCGGCCGCGACCATGGCCATGAGGAGCTCAGTCCGCGTATGTCGTGCCGAGAAGGACGAGGCGTGCACATATGCATCGACTGCGTTACTGTCCTGCAGCAGGGATACATCGATGAGATCCTCGAGCAGTTGCAACGACGGGAAGGAGGGCATAGAGACCTTAGAGTAGGCGACTTTGGTAACGACTCGGATCATACGATCTCGCGCTTCATGGTCCAGCTCGCAATGCACCGAGCGTCGCACGCTGGGGCTCACATGCTGGTCATGGGTCTCAATGGCATCCTGCTGCACGTTGATCTCCTCTTGACCCGTGAAGCAGCCATGGTTGCGTTCCGGTATCCAGTGGCTCCACGACCACGGAGACTTCTTGAATGCCTCCGACCGGAGTCGAGCATCACCGTGCGGATCAGTGCTAGTCGTCACGGACGAATCATCCGCGGTTTCATAGGGAGTCGAAGGCCGCGTCAGTCCACTTTTGAGAAAACCAAAGTCGAAGTCGACACCACTCAGGTCAAAGTCCTGGGTGAAGTCGGATACGTCGGGCGGCATTTGAATCTGGACCTGCGCCATATTGGCCATATCGGGCATCATGATGGATTCAAAGAAGGACGAGTCCGGAAAGCCATAACATTCCATGCCCAGCGGATCGGTGAAGACGTCCTGACCGATGGGGAATTGGTTGACCAGGCTGGCACTGGGAAGCGAGTTGTTATTATCCTCGAGTGCATGCGGCATCGAAGCCGGCGTGGGAATCTGCGCTACGCCACCACCACCACCACCACCGCCGCCACCACCACCGCTGCTAATGCTGCTGCTGTGGGACTCGGGCTGTGAGGTGGAAGAAGCGTGTTCCTGCGAAGTACTGCGGGCATCACTATCGACGCAGGTCATATCTCGCGACTTGCAGCGCTTGCACGGCCGATCATCATCACACTTGGTTTTGGCCTTGATGCAAGCCTCACATGCGCGAGGGGTGCGCTTCCGGAAGACATCGCCTGCAGAGGTTTTGGAGTGGGCGGCTCGGTGGCGGTTGAGCAGGTCGGCGCGGTTGAAGCCTTTGCCACACTCGGTACAGCGGTAGGCGCGCTCGTTGTCGTGACTTTTGAGGTGTCGACTGAGGTGGTCGTGTCGCTCGTAGGTCCGGGAGCAGAGGTAGCACCGGTGTCTGCTTTCCGAGGGAGAAGACTGCTCTGGCTGTTGTGTCTGCGTCTGCGTCGGCGCCGGTTCAGCAGCCATGAGATTGAGGTGCCAGGCAGGCAAGGGGAGATCCGGTGCGGACGGAGGAGGGAGTGGGCGGTGGGCGGTGGGCAGACTCGTCAAACGGTCAAACCACTGGGCCGGATGACAGTCGATCAATCCATCAATTCCATCAATTCCATCAATTCAATCAATGGGTATGACCTGCACTATACTACAATACCTAGGTAGGGCGACTGTTCTACACACCAACTCAGGGTTTCACAGCCAGCTATACTTCCTGGCGCGGCCACATACATACACATACACGCACGCACGCACGCACGTCGGCAGTCGGCAGTTTGCCTGGGCTGGGGGGGGGGGGACACGGAGGATGGAGATAGTACAACTACCACTAATTTAGGAGGTAGTCGGAGTCGGAGGGGCATGGGGGTTGTTCAGGGTCACATTGTCACAATAGGTACATGTAATTAGGTAGATGTGATGAGTGGAGGAGGGCTACCTCCTAGTGGCTGAGTGCACCCTGTGACCCTGTCGAGCGTACCCCTCAAACACTCACACACGGGGAGGGGAGGGGGAAGAGAGAAGCCGACTCGGACGGGAGACTCGGGAGTGAATGATTGATTAATAAGAGTGGAGTCGCTGGAGTGGGCTTGGCATGCGCTTTGAAAAAGTCCCGCTGTTAGCCTGTTACTATAGGAGGTACCTCCTATCGGCATAGTCTACCTCCTACTCCAGGTACATGTACCTAGTTCTAGGACACCTCATCACCTGGGTACCTATGCTATTGCTATACCGCGCTGTCCATCACGCCTCCGCTCCGCTCCGCTCAACTAGACGCACGCACACCCGCCATATTACCCCCATAATCCTCACCCAACTTCTGTCCATTCACCTCCAACGGCTTGCTAGGAACCAACACAAACACCACTCGCGCCCACGTCGTGTCGCTCGGGTTCTTCCACGCATGCATCGTGCCTCTCTGCACACAAATATCGCCAGGACCCAGAATGCGCGTCTCGCCCGAATCCAAGACCAGCTCCAGTTGTCCGGCAATCACAATGCCGTAGTCGAGTGAAATCGTCCGGTGCATGGCGCTCGTGCATCCGGGCTTCAAGTCGACGTATCTCAGCACTGTTCCGCCGCTGATGGTCAGTCCTGGTGGTGAGCTTTCGAGCTTCTCGTAGGCTTTTAGGTCGGTGTCGTTATTCATCTCTACGGGGAATTGCTCGGTTGCGTAGCCCAAGTAGAAGACTGCATCGCCGTTGGTGACGACTTGCTCATTGGGATGCTCGGGCACGGATTTGTTGACGATGGATTTGCCGTCTTTGTCGTGTGTCGTCTTGATCACGGTGGGTGCGGGAAGACGCTCTGAAGGGGCCATGTTGACGGATAGATAAGTAAGATGTAGATATACCTGGTAATGTCAGACAAGACTGCAAACGGCCTGTCTTCTTCTTCTTCTTCTAACCTTACCAAGGCACTACTCAATGCTTCTCTCGATGGTTATAGTGTAAGTGAATAGAGATACTGAGGTAGACTTCTGTACAAGCTTTTGATCCTCCCTCCCACAACCTTCTGAAGCACCTCTTTAAATACCTGATCTGATGCACTCATCCCTCGGACACCCACGGACAACGCCCCACCGAGCTCAAACTCTGGATACTCGCGGAACGTGTGGGCGGCAGGTCCCAGAAAAAACAAATGACGTTCCCTACCAACTTCTGGAGCACAACATAGCACCGTCGTAGGTAGTGCTATCGTCGATCCCCTCCTCTACACGAAAACACGAAAAGTGTCCGAGAGAAAGAAAGAGAGAGAATTGGGATACCAACCGACCCTACCCTACAAGCAACAATCATGACCACTCCACGTACCGGGTATGAAGACCATTTCGGCATCGACAACATTCCCTTTGGAATCGCCTCCATTGGCAAAGAAAGCAAGCCGAGCACAGTCACTCGCTACCAAGACCAAGTCATTTTCCTCCAATTCCTCGACCACATCTTCTCCACCATCCCGAGCCTCCCCAAAGACATTTTCCAACAATCCACCCTCAACGCCTTTGCATCTCTCGACCCCCAAATCCATCTCCAAGTCCGCCAACTCATCCAATCCGAAATCCAAAAAACCACCAATGACGACCTGGCAAAACGTTTCCCCCCAGACTCCATCCAACCCATTTCTGCAGTCCACATGCACCTCCCCATCACCATTGGCGATTTTACAGATTTCTCCTGCTCGCACCACCACGTCCAAAACGCCTCCGAAGCAATGACCGGTCAACGTTCCCTCCCTCCAGCCTTTTACCATTTCCCCATCGGTTACGCCGGCCGCTGCTCCAGCATCGACGTCTCGGGAACACCAGTGATTCGCCCACTGGGCCAACACTGGAGCGGCGCAGCCATGAAATCCGACGTGGTATTTAGCGCGTGCGAGAAAATGGATTATGAACTCGAATTGGGCGCTATCATTGGAACACCTGTGCCTCGCAATCAGAGAATTACGGCCCAGGAGGCTGAAGCGCATATTTTTGGTTATGTGCTGGTGAATGATTGGAGTGCGAGAGATATTCAAGCGCTGGAAATGTTGCCTTTGGGACCGTTGAATGGGAAGAATGCGGGCACGACGTTGTCGCCGTGGATTGTGACGAGTGCTGCTTTGGAGAAATTTCGGGTCGGAGCTCCGCAGAGGTTGGAGATGAAGGAGGATGTGATGTATTTGCGAAATTCATCGGGGAATGGGGCTCTTAGTGTGGATTTGACGGTTGATGTTCAGACGTCGAAGGACAGTGCCGAGAAAACTACAATGTGTCGCAGTAACAGTTCGTGGATGTATTGGACTCTTGCACAATGTGTCGCACACCAAGCCATTGGAGGTTGTGGATTGCGTACAGGAGATTTACTCGCTACGGGAACGGTCAGTGGAGGTGGGGATGCTGAACATGGTTGTTTGTTGGAATTTATGAAGCAGGGTGCTGCCACTGCACCTCCGAGAGGGTATTTGGAGGATGGGGAGACGGTGACGCTTTCGGGGTATTGTGGAAAGGGAGTCGGGTTTGGAGAGTGTGTGGCTACGTTGATGCCGGCTAGGGAAATGTGATTTGGATGGTGGTGAGGATGGGCTTTTTTGGTAAGGTAGATTGATGATGATGATGGAAATGAATAGATGAAATAAAAAATCACAAAAGTGTGGTTTTTGTTTCGCTGGATTTGCTTATTGGAATCATTAAATGTCAAATTCTCCACCTTCTCCCATCCATGCATCCATCCATCTCACATATCCCAAGATCATCACTACAATACCACTACCACTCCCCACCAATCTTCGCCTTGAAAAGATCATCATTCAATTTCCCCGCCGTAGACCTCCACACCGAACTCGCAGTCTGTAAATGAATATTAGAAATTATCCCGTTTCTCATCTCATCCCCGCAAAACCCCCAACCCCCAAACCAAAAAGTAAGAAAAAAGAAAAAAATCAACTCACAGCCTGCATCCAAACCCCCCCAAACATAACTCGAATAAAATTCCTCTCAATCGCATTATTAAATTCATTCCTCCCTCCACTCTCAATCAAACTCGGATTCACAGGGCGATACGCCGGCACTCGTCTCCATTGTGTTTCCCACTCTGCTGGAGAAGAGGAGGAATCTCCTGCGGGTCGTGTGTTGGGAGAGGGAGCTTCGGAGGCGCGGTCGTGAGAGGGTTGGCTGTGGTGGAGATCGTAGTCGGCGAGAGTGTGGCGGAGAGAGGTGACGCGGGCGTTGTCGGTTGTTGTGACGGACATTTTTTTTTTATTTTGTTTTTATTCTATCTTTTTGATATACTGCGGCTTTGCTGATTCGGGGTTTGGAGGTGTGTTTTTTTGTCGTGGTGAGAATATGGTGGTGTGGTAGTAGGAGGAGATGTTGTTGTTGTTGTTGTTGTCGATGTTGTGGTCGATGTGACGTTTCACTCGATGGAAACTCGGCGGTCCAGCGCGGATCCAAGCAGGGAAGAAGCTGCCCAGACCATCCCTCTCCCCCCCGGGCCTCCCGGAGAATCCCCCCACTGGGGTTCCGCTGGGGGCAGACCACTTATCCGTCGCCCGCGCCACACAATTCTGGTGGTGATTCGGGGTTACGCGTGTTAGCGAGAACGCGTCTGGATCCGGGTTGCCGAGCATGTCTTAGTCGTGGTGTAGTTGTCAAGAGCTCTCTCCCAGAGTTCCATCATCTTCTCATACAGCTAGTACTACCTACCTACCTAGGAAGCAGTCTATGATTTTCTGATTTTCCGATTAATTCACAAACAATAGCACAACATGGCACCCGCTTTTCCTCGCGTCCAAGCAGCAGCCATCGATGGCAGATTCGACACCATTTACCACCGACAGGTCGAGCTGGAGAGTCTCTGCAAGGCATTGATCGATAATGTCAACGAGATCAAGCAAGCCATCGCCGCTGATTCGGGACACACGCCTGCAGAGGTCGCTGTCGAATATCATCGAGCTCTGTCGGCAGTCAAGAGAGACTATGCGACTCTCGAGCCGGTGAAAGCTCACGAGCAGGAATATCTGATTGCCAACGGAAAGGATGCCTCCCATCGACGGACACCAGCAGGTGTTGTTTACATCGAACCCACGACACACACCTTGTTCTACTCGACGATTGCGCCGCTGAGTGCAGCGTTGGCAGCGGGGAACACTGTCATTGTTCTGGTGAGTACTTCGAGCAGCCCCTATTCCTGTGAGGGTACTGATCACATCACAGCTGGAGAACAATCTACGCGCGGTTCCTGGACTTCTTCGACGATTACTCCCTGCGTCCCTCGACGCCGACGCCGTTGCCATAGCTTCAAAGCCTGTTCAGGACAATGAGCTTCCTGCAAGTGCGATCCGAGTGCTCCAGAATGGCGTCGACGGGATACCTCGACTGAACCAGCTCACATCACAATCCGGGTCGGCAGTAGTGGCAGTGGTGGATCGTACGGCGGATGTGAACCTCGCTGCTCGAGAACTAGTCGCCGCCCGTTTCCGCTTCGGTGGCCGTAGTCCCTATGCCCCTGACGTCGTTCTGGTCAACGAGTTTGTCAAGAAAGATTTCCTGCACGCGGTCGTCAGCGAGACAGTGCAGGTACTCAATACCGCCGGACTGGACAACAACACGGCAGGAAGCAACCAAGTCGGCGACTCGATCAAGCGCTTGCAAGAGTCGAATCCCAACATGAGAATCATCTCGCAGGAGGGTAAAGCAGCAGTGGTGGAGCTCAGCTCGAGAACAGGGATCGTGGGCACCAAAATGTCGGCTCCTATCTTCGCAGTCCATGCAGTCAAGAGCTTGGATGATGCCATTGATCTGGTCGGCTCTCAGAGCACCGCACCCGCACTCGCAGCATATCACTTTGGCAACCCGAAAACAGGCAAATATCTCTCGCAATTCATTGCAGCAGAGGCGTCATTCGTCAACCATGTACCACACGAACTGCTCATTGGGCCTGCATGGCCCAGTGGGAGACCGGTGGACACGGCATGCCATTACCCGATCGAGGCGTTGTCGGTGGCCAGACCAGTGGGAATCAAGCCTTCGACACGATCGGAGCAGATGGCGAGTGCATTGTCGACAAAGAGCAACACGGTCTCACAGAAGCTCACAGCCGAAGCCACGGCGCCTTTGAAGGCATTCAAGCGGAACCCAGGAGGTGGCGTGGGTTTCTTTGAGCAAGGCTTCTTGTATAATGCGGGATTTTTACTCGTCAGTACGGTGATTGCCAGTGCTACGGGTGGATTTTGGCTGTGGAGGAATTCCCGGCGTGCGTGATAATGGTCGATTAATAGGTATCTACTTGTAAGCTTGGTAGTTTGGGTATTGTCTCCTGTTATCACTTCAGCCATCATGAGACTACCTCCTACTTGTGAGAAACATGGCGGGCTCTTCCCGTGGTGAGTCTGTATTATAGTACGTTGTAAGTCGTCGGTGATAGCGCTCGAAGACTTCTAATCTCCGGTAAGCTAATGATGGTGCAGGGAGAGCTTCCAAGTGCCGACTCGGTATCCACCTCCGTATTGCTTGAGTGTATGTACACTGTACGGTACCTTAGGCAGAAATAGGTCTTGGCATCAAACATGTGGAGGAGGCGGAGAGTGGAGGGGGAGCAGAGTGAAGTCAGTGAGACTGTGAGAGGTGGAATTGTCCATTCGTTGCCGCTGTCGATTGGAGGAGAATTACCCCGTCCCCCTGTCGCTCTGGGATTTGGCATCCAAAGACTGTGGAGCCTCGTTGCATTTATCCATTCCAGCCCACTCTCTCCAGGGCTATGACAGGAAACGACACGACATTTACTTGATAAAGCACGACAATTCTTCTTCTACACTAACCAACAACTCTCTCTCTCTCTCTCTCTCACACACACTCTCTCTCTCTTTCTCTCGGACATCGCCCACCTTCACAACCTTCTCACCATCTACCGCCAACATGGGGTCCACTGCAGAAATCACAAAGTACGCTGCCACGCCCTCCACTTGCCGATCTCGCTCGTTGAGCTCCCCGCTAACCAATCCACAGGCGTACGTACAAGCTCAACACCGGCGCTGAGATTCCCGCAATTGGTCTCGGAACATGGCAATCACCGCCGGGACAGGTCGAAAAAGCAGTGGAAGCAGCGCTGAAGCAAGGATACCGCCACATCGACACCGCCGCCGCATACGGCAATGAGGCAGAAGTGGGAGCCGGCTGGAAAGCATCGGGCGTGCCCCGCAAGGACTTCTTCTTGACAACGAAGCTCAACAATCCCGACCAAGGACGTGTCGCAGAGGCCATTGACGAGTCACTCCAGCGTCTCGGGACGGACTACGTGGATCTCTACCTCATGCACTGGCCACAGCCTGTCGATCCAAGTGACGACAGTGGCAAGAAGGCACTTGCAGACTGGGACTTCAAGAAGACCTGGGCTGAGCTACAAAAACTGCCGGCGACGGGCAAGGTGCGAGCAATTGGTGTCTCCAACTTCAGCAAGCACCATCTCGAAGAGCTCTTTGCCGACCCCTCATTCACGACGACACCGGCAGTCAACCAGGTCGAGATTCACCCTTGCTACCCTTCATTCAAGCTGGTAGACTACAACACCTCCAAGGGCATCCACAGCACCGCATACTCATGTCTGGGATCGACCGACTCTCCACTCTACAAGAACGACACTCTGGCGAAGCTGGCAGAGAAGAAGGGCAAGACGGTGCAACAAGTTCTGCTGCAATGGGGCCTGAGCCGAGGTTACTCCGTCATCCCCAAGTCCACCAGCCCCAGCCGCATTGCTGCCAACTTCGACCTTAATGGCTGGGAGTTGACCCAGGAGGAAATTGAGACTATCAGCTCCATCAAGGATCGTTTCAAGGTGTGCGACGGTACTTTCTTGCCCGCTGATGGCAAGGATGCCAAGCTGTTTGTGGATGACGAGTAGAGGCAGTCCATGGCTCCATCAGATATGAAGACTTGAAAATCTATAAACCTGCTCAATGCTAGCGATTGCAAATCGCACTGCAAGTGGGTAACGAGAAGCCACGGCCCTCTGGTACCCATCCGCAATGATGATGAATCTGAGCGCATCATTCTAGAAGTAGCATATAGACGTAATGACTGGTGACTGGTGACTGACACGGTCCAAGCACTCCCGTCCACTGCTTCAAATCCCATTCTTGAGTCGAGATTATTTGGTAATTTAAACAAAAAAAGGTACAGTAAGCTTCGGTCCGGGTTGATGCGAGTGATGAGATGATTGGTAGCCAGGGATGATGTCTACAAGGAAGATTGTGGAACTAAATCATTGGAGCGACTCTTGTGTGCATCTGAAGAGAAGTCACATACTGTCCGTACGTTTATATGTAGATGGGTAGTAATAGACATGAATCGAGAAGAGGTATGTAGTAACAAGATACATGTGTGGAAGTTGGGGAGGAGGAGAAGTGGGACGCACGTGTCAAGCGAGAGAAAAGAGTTTCAAACCTTCACCTCGGGATCTTCCGATATGCAATAAGCGGTAGGATGAAACTCTTTCGGCGCTTCGCGGTATAGGTCGCATTCGTCAGCCAGCCTCACCATGGATATATACATGTAAGAGTGAAGCAGAGCCTATACAATGATTCTGCATAGGACAACATAGACTCAGAAGAGATGCGAGGGGGCATGCACACGCCACGTTATTAACAATCCCCAAAAGAAAGAAACGAAAAAGAAGAAGCGAAACGCCAAACATGGCTACAACAAACGTCAAGCCCTTAGGAGGAGGCCCTCATACCAAAGAAATCCAAGTCCCCGAATGGGAACACATCACAACAGCCACCTCTCACGAAAAGACCTCCACCGCTCCATCCACCACCCTCGTGCAACATCTCCGCACCAAACTCGACTCCATCCTACCCCCTCACCGAACCTATCTCCGCCTGAGTCGCAACCGCTTCCTCATCTTACTCACCTGCGCCCTCCTCGCCCTCTTAGCTCTAATCATCGGTCTCGCAGCCGGCCTCCACAGCAATTCCTCCCGCAACAAAACCCTCCCTCTCCCCTCTAATACAGACACCCACACCGGCGAACTCACATACTACACTCCCGGCCTCGGCGCCTGCGGCGAAACGAACCAGCCAGGTGATCACATCGTCGCTGTATCGCATTTAATTTTCGATGCGGCAGGGTCGAGTTCGAGTCAAAATGGGGGAAATTCGAATGCGAATCCGTTGTGTGGGAGATTTTTGAGGGCGACGAGGTGGAATGAAAAAGTTGGAGGCATGAGGTCGGTGGATTTGAAGGTGGTGGATCGTTGTACGGGGTGTCGGGAGGCGGATTTGGATGTTACGGAGGAGGTTTTTGGGGAGTTGGCGGATGTGGCGGAGGGGAGGGTGGATGTTAGTTGGGCTTGGTTGTGAGAGGGCCCCCTAGGAGGTAGGGGGATGGAGAGGATGTGAAGTGAGGTGCTTTCGTGGTCTTGTGGGGGAGGGTGTCTGGTTGGTTGGTTGGTTGGTAGGCAGGACGGGCTGCTATATCATGTACCACTCGCCTCTTTGAAAATGTTGATTTGCTATTGAACTACATGTATGCATCACGCACACTGCTATTGTGAAGCATACATGTATGTATCTTCAACCTCCCTCCGGCAATGGAGGAGAGAGGGCATGTCGGACAAGTGGGCCAGTCCGCCTCCGGGCTTGGCAGAGACACAACATAGAATACCTGACCTTACCTGACCTTTCCAGCCTTCGAACAAACATCTGTCAATTCCCTGGGGTGTATCTGCAATGCAAGAAGAAGTTTGATCCGAGAAGCCTGGTATTGTATTCTGCTTATTACGCTCTAGTGATCAAGTGCTGTTTCAAGAAAAGAACAGCTTCGAATGGGTATCTCAACACGCCTCGATAGAAAGAATGGTCGCGAAACGCCCAATAACTGCCGTCCAAACATAACCTCATCAACTCATTATTATAGCCCCTCGCCATCATAGGAGATCCCGCCTGCTTCTGTGATCGCGTCGTCTCTACAGCGCCGCCAGCGGCCTTCCTGCGGCAGCGCGCTCTTTGCGTACAGCCCAGCCTTTGAGCGCGAACAGGACGACTTCCCACGCCAGAATCATTCCCGTCAGACCCAGGGTGAGGGTGAAGATGGTCATGGCATCCAAGCCGTTCGATTCGATCGCATGGACGGTATCGGCCGCGCTGTTCATGAAGAGCAGTCCTCCGCTGGTCAAGCAGAAAGCTGCGACGATTTCGCTCGGAGGTCGGGATGGAAAGTGAGAAGTGGGTGGCTTGAGGTACATGGTGATGTACGTGACTCCACGCGCCACACTAAAGGCGGAGAAGAGTCCTCCCCATTGCGCGTGCATCATAGTGCTGACCATGCTGTTCTGGTGGTGGCCGCTCATCATCCGGCCGAGCAGCATGATTGTCAACGCTGGCAATGGGTTCAGAGGTGTCCGATATGATTCTGGCTCTTTCCAGCAGTCATCTTCCTGCTCATGGCCAGCATGTGGTGCAGCAAAGCGATTCTCCTCTTTTTCCTTCCTCTTCTGGTCCAGGACAGTCGTACTCATGAGGTCTTGAACCCACTTCGACTCGATTAGCATACCAAGCAGACCACCGCCGAAGAACAGAATGGTGATACTGAGGTGCTCCAGGTCTGTAGGTGACCAGCCTTTCCCCCAGGCATTCATGTGTTCCATGAAGACATTGGTGGCACCGTACAGCCAAATCACGAACGACTCCGTGAACTCGGCCGATGGCATCGTCGACTTCCACTTCGACACCAGCGGAGATTGAGGTCGCACATTCCAGGCCCAACCATATTCGGAGAATGCTCCCATCCAACGTCCTAGCGTGAGGAGACCATACCAGACGAAGATTCCGCCTTTGATGTAATGAGCCAATCCCGAGAATATCTGCCTATCGCGAAAGAGGCCACCGGAAACGACGAATCCAGAAGTGAGTGCCACGAAGCCTAACAAAAGAAGGAATCTCTCGAGCACGATCTGAGTGGCCCGGACCACGGTCGTTGCCCGCTTTGTCGAAATCATTCGAAGACCTTTGCCAAGGAAGCTTTCGAACTTTTTATTGCCTAGGAAGCCTGTTCGTTCCGCCTCTTCGTCATCCAGCTTCTCATCCTCGAAGTCCTGATTGCTGTTATCCTCTTCTGGCTTTTGGTGAACGTGGTCGGTGGAGTTTTGGCGAGATCCGAATAAAGATGCCGAGTTGCGCTCTGTGCCCTGTCCGGAATCCCTGGAGTCGCGAGAGAAGAGTCCGTCATCATATGGAGATCGTGCATCGAACTGTGCCAAGCTCTGGATTGTGAGCTGTTGTTCTCGCTGCGATGACGACCGGCGCTCGCGTCGGTGTTCTCCATACGCCACGTATACCGACATCAGAGTCCACACGAACGTGAAGCTGACCACGACCCATCCGAGCGGATGGTGGGCATTGTTCACATACAGATCTGGTGTGGAATGGTTATAGACGAAGCCAGCAAAGATGCCCAGACCATTGACAACGTGGAAGACCATTTGAGCAGGCAAATGGTATCGCGAGCGGGCCACGCTTAGGAAGATGGCTACTGGCATACACATGGTCCACGCTAAAGTCATGGAGACGGTATGCGCCAAATGCCAACTCCAGTAATCAGGATGCCGAAAATAACTGATCGCTTTGTGCTCTGGTAACTCTCCTAGCTCTGCTATGTGATCGCCCATCTGCATATCTTCTCCCTCGACGCCATGAGCAGCCACACATGGCAGAACTCCTAGTAGGAGCGCCGTGGTTGCGAGAACCACCGCTCTTCTGGATCGCATGAGCTCGGCACGCGCGACTAGTGTGGAGAGACGAGAAGATGATCCTGGAGCTAGAGGAGCGGCTCTATGTGCCTGGAATGGTAGTCTGAGTGAGGTGAAGTTCTTCGCCGTTCTGTTCTCAATTACAACGCAGAGTATACTGATGGAGGTGGGTGCTGAGGAGAAAGACGAGTCGAGTGAAGATTGGTAATGACAATGAGGCTACCTACACTCGTGTGGACAAGGTAGGAGTAACAATTTATTGAGTCCAAGAGACGGTGACCTCACAGGCTTCTGGGGAACACTCACCATCCATTCCGACCACAATCCGAGCCTTTCTTACAGCGCCCTATGAGGCTATGAACGAATCCGTGGCAGCCGACGCATTTTGTCAGCAGCAGGAAGCACAAGACTGCTCACCAAGCAGCCCAAAGTCCGATTTGTTCTGTTCGTTCTGACGCCATCCATCTGCGAGCTTCCACTGGCTTCCTGCATCGGAGGCATATGACCGAGAGACAAGTTTAGCGCATGTAGTCAACACCTAGGAAGCTACTCGCATGCCAAGTCAGCTGTTTGGCGTGACGGATCTCAACCCCAGTCGCCAGCATTTCGTCAGCATCCGCATGCAGACCTGGCAACCAGCTCGTGAACCAATCACCGCACGATGCGATGGAGAGGTTGCATGTGCACATGCACAATGTGCACAAATAAAACCTAGAACACTTTTCATCACTGCGCCTTGTCCTGCGGCGGAGACATGCGGAGACTTTTCACAGCGGTGTGTGAATGGGGAGATTTCTTTTACATTTCTACAGTTGCGTGCTTGGGGGTTCTGGACTCTAGTCTCTCGCACTTGGCGCGTAATGATCATGTCAGCCCGAAGTTCGGACAATGTATTCCACGGCTGCGTTGCGCGGCGTATATGATCTGCTGATCGCGAGGTTCAGCGCACAGTTCTAGAAGATCAGAGATCTCCAGCCCAGCCCATCCCAGCCTCCCCCATTACATACTGTACCTATACACACCCCTCCCAGCAATGTGTGGCGACACGGACTACTCTACGGTACGAAGTATACCAGGAGGTCAGGCACCTGTACCAGTGTACCTACCATCATCCAACAGTTTCGCGTCCGATTCTCCTCCGATTCCGGCTCCGCGGGGGGAAAGGTGAGGTGAGGTGAGGTGAGGTGAAGTGAGGCCCACAAATGAAAAATACATCATGATCATGATCATATGAGTGTTGGTACCAGAAGCTAATCCTGCCCCCCACTTATCTATTTCTTTTTTCTTTTTTCTAAATTTTTGTTGCAAGCAAGCAAGCAAGCAAACAAGAAAGAGAGTAAGAAAAAAAAATGCGACCAGAGAAAAAGCTTGATAAGCTGACTATTTCATCATACCTACCTCCATACTCGTAACTCAGGTCAGGTAACTCAGGAAGGTAGGTTCTTTTCAGCCACTCTACCTCCTACCTCCTAGCTTATCTTCTCTACGGATTTTCGGCAGTAAGAAACCGGACCGGACCGGACTTTAGGAGGTAGTAGTTTGTAGGTATTCTTCGCTAGGAGGTAACCTACTATACCTTACCTACCTTACCGTAGCCTAGAGTATCGGGCTTAGTATAGTAGAGTCATATTGTAACACGCTAGGGCAGAGAAGCCCTAGCGAACCCCCGGCGAGGCGGGCGGGGCGTGCCGCGCGGGACGGGAAGCCCTCGCGGACCCCCGGCGATCCGGTATAGAAGGGATGCCCTACCGATCGGAGACGTTCTGAATCAAGAGGGTTCCTAAGGGAACTAGTTATCGGCTGCTGCCTAAGAGGAGGCGGTGCCGGTAGCGAGGAGTAGATAATAGAATAGCTTGTATATATAGCGAGGGCCCTCCTCTAGGAAGGAAGGGCAGAGTTATTAGGCCTCATTATAGGTACAACCTACCCTAGTAGGTATGTAGGGTAGGTTGGGTATTGGCAATACCTAATAGGTATAGGTATTTAGCTAGGTATACCCAACCCATCGGGTTGGGTACAAACCTAGTAGGTATTGCGATACCTAGTAGGTATTGCGTACCTATTAGGTATTGAATCTTCGTATATAGAAATAAAAAACCTAGAAACCGGGTGCCCTAACGAGAGCGAAGAAGCGATTTATTTGGACTAGGCATAAGAAAAGAAACTGTATATAAACCCGATATAGATACGAAAGTGAAGATTATAGTTAAATTGAATAAAGAAGCTCAGGATTATATATACGCTATACTACAAGTTGTAATATTTTGAATCTTAAGAAATATAGTCGGCAAATATAGTCGGCAGGTAAACTTTATATAAGCTTAAAGCAATCTCCCTATAATCGTCTCGTAGCATCCCGGAGGCACTCTTACGCAAGCTTGAAGCTTAGGCGTACTAATCGCCTTAGCTCCTCTACTACATTACCCTCGTTATCGCTAATCGTATCTAAGTTACTAATCCGTTCTATAAGATCTTTCGTCTGCTCTCGGTCTTTACTAAGGATCTCCTATAAAGTTAGAGTACTAAGAAGCGCTTAGGAAACCTCTATAGCCTCCTAGGCGATAAGAACTCTAGCATCGTACTTATCGTCCCGATAGCGAAAACGAGATACTATCAATCTAGAGAATATTGCTGCAGTGTATTGGCGATTGAAACGACTTTAATGTCGAGCGATACTGAAATCGCGCTTACACCCAACTCCGGCGGTAGGAATACAGAGAATATCCCGCGCTATTAATACGAGAGTAGGGTACTTAGACTCTATTGAAGACTACGTCTTTAGTACCTCGAATAGATCCCCTTCATCTATATTAGCGTCCAAATAGTCGGCGAGCTCGTCATCCTCGTTAGTGCTGCGTCTTTGACTTTGAGAAGACTCTATACTCCTACTAAGAGTAAAGTCGATATAGCCTTTATGCCGACTCCTTCCAAAACGGCCCTACTAGGTAGAGGTACTCGATAATAAACGATAGCTCTTCTCCTACTCTGCCCTTAGCTTACCCTCGTAATACGCGCGGTAACTTTCATCCCTAAAGTCATCGCGTACCTAGAACTTCCGCTTAAGGCAGGGGGTAAGGAGGACGCTAATACCGTAGTAATCGCCAAATCGATCCTAGGTATCTCGATAATATTTCTCTAGCTTAGCCTAAGCAGCCTCGTATGCCTAAAAGACATCCTTCTTCTAGGGTATCCGCTTATTCTTGAGTCGCTTTATCGCCTCCTCTAGAATATCGAAAAGCTTATTGTAGTATACGAGGACAAGGTGAATCGTCGGACCTTTCGTAGTTCTAATTACCGCTATCGCCGCTGCAAATGGTTTCGTAAGGTCGATAAGGTACTCTACCCTTTGCTATTCTTCGGAATCGATGCCTATGTCTTTACCTAGGTTAAGTCGCTCGATATAAGATTCAATAACCACTTAGAGTCTGCTAAAGCGATCGAGTATTAACGTTGTTAAGGACTACCTTATCTTTACGTCTTAAACGACCCTTAGGATACGATCTTGAACGCCTTTCTACCGACGGTGCTTTGCAAATAGCTGCTTCTTTTAAAGCATCTCTTTCTAGAGGTCGATAAACTGTTCGAACCTTTAGGAGCTCGAGTTAATAAAGACGCAAAGCTTCCGGATCTAGAGATCAAGATTAGCTAGAGTAACGAACTGCCGACTATAATTGCCGACTACGCGAGTCGACTATACTTTCGAGGTAGAAGGGTTTATAGTTTATTAGGCGTAGACACTAATCTTACCTTCAAAAGAAGATAGGGTATACTATTAGCTTAAGGACGGCTGATTTGCTTGCTCTGGACTCTTCTTCTCTGTAATATCTTTCTATCCTTGTCGTAATCCTAGAATTCGGAAAGGTCGTTCGTAGGACAAAGCCCTAGGCGGTCGAAAAAGGCCTTTAGGGGAAGTTGAGCAGTATAGGCAAAGCAGGGAAATCGCTCCGGACGGCTACCTCGATTACACTCCGTAATTGCCTCCTCCTCTTCCTCTCCTATCTCTAATTCGGGACTAGTCTCCGTACCTAGATAGAGAGGTAGCTGCTCCAAGCTCGTTAGTAGCTTAGTAACCGTTATACCGTACCTCTCTTAACAAGTATCAATCGCTGAAACACTATAGAATATTAGAGGAGAGTAATAACAGTATAGCAAGTATCCTTACATCGTATTGTGTAGCGTCTTATTGTTAGAGGCGTTGTCGTACGTAATAGCAGTTAATCGCCGCTCAATCTCGAACTCTTGTAAGATCTCGAATAGTATCTCCGCAAGATAATCACTAGTATAACGGCCAGTAATATAAGGGAAACCAAGCATCCCTTCGTACTAAGTCTATTAGTCGTCAATCTAGTAGACCCGTATAGTTAGGAATAAGGTTTTTATAGTCCTGGATTGCTAACTATTATACGTAATAGCTATCTTGAATCTTCTAGCGAGACGGGCTTTAAGGGAGTCGGCAGAGTCTATAACCTTAGTATCGAGCATCCTTCGGTATGTCGACGCGCATTTGAACGGAATTGTCTCGACCTGTCCCGGAAGTAGTGCTATATAAGTCTGTTTCACCGAGGGTCGTTTAAAGAACTGGAATAGTAGACCGTTGTCGACAATTATCTTAAAGTATAGGCGCGGGAAATCGTCTAGTATATAGCCTAGGTCCCTTGTCTACCGTAGATTGCTAATAGTCTAGAAATATCGTCTTAGTATAAGTAGCTAGACGTGGTCGGCAGACGTAGTCGGCAGGTATAGTCGGCGTTAGTTAGTACTTACCTGTCGATGCTTCGCGGCCGTAAACATCTCCTTTATAAACCCTCGCTTATCTTGTTTCTCCTAGCAGTTCGAGGAGTCGAGATGCTTCTCGACAGATATTGTACTAGTATTTAGTACTAGGTGTTTTAGTACAGCGTCACAGCATCTGTATACGACTTTAGGCGTCGTATCTTCTTAAAGCATTCCCTCCTCTAGGAAATCCTATACCTAAGATATCCGAGACTTACTCCCCTAGGTAATTAGGGACCGATCGAACATAGTACGACCGTTCCGCTTTTTAAGGCGCTTTCCGGTATAATTCCACTACCGTACCTCGTACTAACGCTCAAAGTTGTCCTTATACCTAAGCCTCTATAGCTAGCAATTTGACTTGATATCCTACTCTCCTATATAATCAGGCTCGATAGGGAGAATAAGGGAACTATCTAGTTCCTCTTCTACTAGACTCGGCCGTCTCGTTCTACGCCGCCTAACGTTAGGTTGTCGTCGGCGTCGACCTAGTGTTAGACTCGATAGCGCGTTGAGTGTCGTCCTATAGCGCTAGCGTAGCCGTACGCTCGATCGCGTAGGGGTCCCGGAAGAGGTATCGGGCTAGGAGGAGGATTCGAGCCGGGAGCTTCCTACTCCTAGGGAGGACGAGAAGGAGGACGAAAACATAGTAGATAGACGACAATAGCGTAAAAGTCCAGAGGTATCTTGAAGAAGTAGGAGTAGAAAGGGGAAAAAGAAAGAGAATTTCCTGTACTCAATTATAGTATTACGCTATAACAAGGGTATAGCCAATAGGATATGCCGACATTCTGCTACATCCGAGCCAACCTATCGAAACCCTGGTTTAGGCGTCGCTTGCTATTTACCTATCGCTTCCGCTTCTTAGTCTTAAACTTTAACAAGGGTAGCCAGTCTCTTGTCCTTCTCAACTAGTTCCTCGAGACCAGAAATCGAGAGGTAGAGTTCGTCTTCTTAGAGGAGGAGGAGCAGGATAGCTTCGAGAGTAATACTAGTATACTCTTTTACGCTACAATAGATAAGGCTTTCTATTACTGCTAGCTATATTGTCTATTCCTTCGTAAGAGAGTTCTCTTTCTCGTACATCTTATACGCTATCTTTGCGAGATACTTGTTCTCCTTTATTATCTTTGAAGGCAAAAAGCCGTTAGCTGTATAGTCGTAGGTAGCGGGAATGAGCCAAGAAGGGCCTAGCAATCGCCCTCTATAGTAGGCTTGAGCTTTAGTATCCTACGATAGGACATTCCGGTAAACGGCTCGCTTAATAGGCGAGAAGATCTTATGTAGTAATAGCATTCGGACTTCTTTAATACAAATCTGGAATTGTAATTAGTTTCTATAGTCGGCAAATATAGTCGGTAGATATTTACCTTTATTGTCTCGCTACTAACGATTTTTAAGACCTCTTTTATACCTTTCTCATTTAGTATATCCAGGTTCTTAAGGATAACAATCTTGTCCTAGAAGTGGTGAATAGAAGAGCGCTATTGATTATAGGCCGTCGAAAAAGTAGAAGAGGATGCCTGGATAGCAAAGGTACCAATAGACTTAGCCCTCGCTTCCTCTATCTATAGAGTCGAGAATAGATTGAGAACTGATTCCGAGGGAAGGCAATAGTTGCTAAGGCCGCTAACCCCTTTGTCGCACTCCTCGCTAACAGATAGATGCTCCTATTCCTACTCAATCTAGTCTTCTTTCTGGAATGTCAATCGTTCCTTAGAGTCGATATCGCCGAGTTCGAGAAACTAGTCGGCTTTATTAATCTTTGCCTACTTATCGGGAGGAAGTGTTGTACTCTTTCTAGTCTGCTTCTTTGTACTAAATCAGAAGTTAGTACTCAAATCTGCCGACTATATCCGCCGACTACATTTGCACTTACGCTTTTTGATTATACTCCTTTATATATATCTTTCTCTAGCCCTCGATAAGTTCCTATTGCTTATCTTTAGCGAGGCTTTCGAAACTCGTATACTCCTTAATTTATGCCTTTTTGAATCGCGCGAAGGATTCGTTACGCGCTTTGCGGTATCGATCCTATGCCCTCTTTTCTTCGTCTATAGCGGCAGTACGCTCTCGGTCTCGTAAAGTATTTGGCTTGAGGGAGTACTCCTCGAGTAACTTCGAGGCTGCGCCGAGCTTTGCGCGCTTGTTTGCTAGTGCCTCTAGGGCATTACTCTTACGTTTCGGCATAGTAAGGTTTCTAATGTTGGTATAGTAGTTAAAGAAGAACTCGGTCTGATTACGAAGGTAGGTATCGACAGCGCTAGTAAAGGTACGGAGGTACGGGTGTTGTAGAGGTGTTATAGTAAGGTAGTGAAGTAAGAGAGAGAAAGTAAATTTACCCTACTAGGGCAATTTAAGGTTTAGGCAGCTGCCGAATCCCGGTATTAGTTACGCCGGGCAACGATACTACCTATCTTTCCGGACTAATAACACTCTACCGCACTACTGTACCGCCGACGTTATTCTAGATAATAAGTATAAGAACTATACGTAAGTCGCCCCCTCTAGGCGTTATTAATTTCGAATATAAGTTGTTATCCGTTCGTTCGCTACTACTAGGATAACTGCTAGCAGGGGTTATATATATATATATATAGTATATAGATATCTATATTAAAACGATATATATATCAAGTATAGATATCTAGGACCTATATGTAAAAACGCGTCTAAATTATATATACGCCCTAGAGAAAACAATAGGTCCTACAGCTATAGAAGAACGTGTTCGGCAGACGTAGTCGGCGTATAAGTCGTATATCCTACTAGCGGCCTTAGGATATATATAGAATCCCTGTATAGATTACTAATTACCTTCCCGCGAGATCCGATATACTCTCGAGATAAGCGCCTTAGCAAACTCCGGGTTTTCCTTATACCCTCCGTATTTTCCTTCTCTCTTTTCTTCTCTATCGTCAACTTTGTCAATCTACCGAGATATACTCAAAGCTCTCAAAATGCCTAATATAGATACTGTTTCCCTCTCTACCTACGTCTCTGCCTCCCTCCCTAGGGATAACGACGACCAACTCGACTATAGACTCGATTTACTATAGGACGAACAATCGAGACCTAGAGGGCTTCCGAAGGCTGCTTTTGATAGCGGAACTGATATAAGGACTCAGAAGTGGTTAGATAGGACATAGGAGGAACGAATAGAGCCGCTCGAAAAGATATCCTATCTCGGAAAGGGGAAAGAAAAGTAGGGAACTCAGGGTACCGCAAAAGTAATCTACGATCCTAATTATAGCGGAGAGAAGGAGGACAAGCAGGCAACTTAAGGTACTGCGGGAGTAATCTATAATCCTAATTATAGCGGAGAGAAGGAAGAAAGGCAAGCAAATCAAGGTGTAGGTCTAGTAATCTATAGTCCGGAGACTAGCGAAGATTCGGATATACCGATTAGGCGGCGTATACGATAACTACCTCAACCGACAGCCTCTCCTAGACTAAGTAAAAGCCTCGCCAAAAGGAGGCGGGGACGTACGAAACTAGTCGCGAAAAAGTCCTATCTAGGGAATAAGAGGCCGATAGGGAGTTAACGGCCGCAGAAGAAGCCTATAATACGAAAGGCACCTAAAGCGAGAACTAAGCGACGAACAAAGCCTAGTATAGCTGCTCTTCGCGAGATTAGGAGATACTAGAAGACGACCGAGCTGTTAATACGTCGACTACTATTCCAGAGGATCTGTCGGGAAGTTACTATAGATATCGTAAGTAAATCTTCGAGTAGCGTATGCCGGTTCCAAGTAGAGGCCCTCCTCTGTCTATAGGAAGCGACGGAAGCGTTTCTTATACTTGAGTTCGAAGTCTCTAATATACTTACAATATATACGAAACGAGTAACGTTGCAGCAAAAGGATATAGTACTTTGTCGATGGATTCGGAAGCGCTTCCTAGAGGAAAATAACGGAAAAGATGACTTTTAAGCTTTTAGGAATCTGCCGACCATATCTGCCGACTATATCTACCGACTATGTCTGCTAACTATGTCTTAGGGGAAGGATTAGGACTCCTACCGAGAAGACTTTCCGATAATATTTACTACCTATACCGACTGTACCTACCGACCGTACCTGCTAACCGTACCTACCGACCGTACCTACCGACTGTACCTGCCGACCGTACCTGCCGACCGTACCTGCCGACCGTACCTGCTAACCGTACCTGCCGGTCACTCCCGGCAATTAAAGATTACGTACGCAAACCTTATTTGGATCTCGTGTGAAGTGCGTATGTATTATTACTTAGGTAGCAAACAATCCGTAGCCTCTGATTGGCCGAGCGGTTGTCTCCTAATAATACAAAGTTACTCTCTACTTCAGAAAAAACCTAACTTACTATATCAATATTGCCCCCTTCCTTTCTCTCTCTCCTTACTACCTCTACTACACTACACTACACTATACTACCTCCGCTATACTACACTATACTACTATACTACACTACACTACCGCTACTATACCACACCAGCGCACTAATCTACTACAATAGCCTCGGTAATGTCGATTGCGCAGAAGCGTAAACAATCGATCGTACGCAAGACTCCTCGCACTAGTAGAAAGGGACTTCCTTCGCGCATAGGTAGTAAAAAGCTTCTAGGCACTCGCATTAAGAAGGGACATAGATATGCCCTAGGTAGTAAGTAATTCCAGAATCTAGATTTGTAGTCGGCATTTGTAGTCGGCATTTATAGTCGGCACTAACTTTCTCAAAGTATTAGCTCTTAAAGAGATTAGGAAGTGCTAGAAGGAGAGCCTGCTCTATATCAAGAAAACCCTATTTGCCAGACTTATTAAGGAGCTCGTTATAGATTAGGCTTATATACCTCTTCGTATTTAAGCAAGCGCTCTTAGCGTTCTTTAAGAATATGCTGAGTCTCTCTTAGTAAGAATCTTTACCTATAAGTCTTCCTATTTCTTATTCTTTCTAATTACTTACTTACTTACTTACCTCCTCTAGCGGCCAACCTTTTAGCTATCTACGCTAAGCGCGTTATACTCTAAGGCAAAGATATAGAGTGTCTTCGCTCGCTTCTCAAGGAGTAGGGTATTTGGCCTAACGATTTCGTAGTCTGCCCTTACAATTCTGGTCCTGTCAATCCCAATTTTATCTATATAGAGCCAAAGAAGAACAAGGCTACTAAGGCGCTGAAAGCAAAGGCTACGCCAAAATGCAAGCCTCTCCTAACTAAGCAGCCTCGACGAATCGTTGAAGACGATTCTAACGAGGATATACTAGACGCTACTCAGAATCCGACTGTAGAAAACAATAATAGCGAGGATACCACTGCTTAGCAGGCAACTCTTAGTAAGTTACTCTTTTATTATTAATTATAATATACTAATTTAATAGCTTAGGATAATACTCCGCTACTCCTAGATAATAAGTAGGACGATGATGAGCAGGATGAAGATAAGTAGGAACAAGATAAGCAAGATCAAGATGTCCGAGATTAAGATATCCAAGGTCGAGACTTTCAAGCTAGTTATAATTAAGAAGAGCTAGATAATGATTCTAGCGATAATAAGCAAACTCTTAAGCAGAGGCTAGAAGCCTATATTAATGAGCTGGTAGCGGCAGCTTACGCGCTTACTATTGCGAAAGAGCGTTTAGAAGATAGCTTACGCCTTACTTAGGAAACTCTCGAGGGAGACGTAAAGAAAATTGCGCATCAGTTTTATCGTTAGCAGCGGCTAAATTTCGAGGATCAACTTTGCGCTTATTAAAAGATACAAGACGCTAAGGTAGAGGCCTTAAAGCAGCAAGCAAAGGAGCAAGCTGCTCTAGATGCTTAGCTACTTACTAAGAACTAAGGTAGTTTCTATCCTTAGTATATAGTAGCTCATAACTATAATCAATTGGTTAGAGCTTCCCTCATTATTCTGGTAATCCCTTTTTGATTGGTATATATAGTCGGCATATATGGTCGGCAGCTGCAATAAACATAGAATATATTCCTATTAAATTCTACGCTCTAGGAATCAGGTAGTAGGTATATATCCCTTATTAATATTTCTTTCTACTATTTTGTAGGTATTCAACTCGTATTATATAATACCTATTGCAATACCTATTAGGTATACCTACTGGGTTTTTACCGTTAGGTTGTACCCCGCTTATAAGCTAGGTACCTAGCTTATTTGTAGGGTTGGGTATTTAAGTTAGGTTGTACCCAACCTATACCCAACCTAACCTATAACGAGGCCTAAGAGTTATTGTACCTTAGTTAGCAAGCCGTATATTATTTATACCTTTTATACCTTAGACCTCTGTTACGTATACCCTTACGCTTACAGAACTATTATATAATAACTCTCGTACCTTAACTATAAGGGAAAGGTCCGAATAATAGTAGGAGGACGTTCTACTAGATAGAATCCTAGCGACTCGCCGGGGAACCCCTCTATACTAGAACAGGCCTCTACTAAACAATCTTCCTCTACAGATGTCGAAGTAGGACGAGTTTAGGAACTGCTCGACTAGGAGGAATCTATAGAAGCTCTCGCTAGTATCTAGCTAGAAGACGCGAACGATTCCGAGCCGGAAATCATCGTCGAACGTAAGGAGCTAAGCGACCTTTAGAAAGACATCGCCCGCCTACGGGCGGAAAAGGAACGTCTACTACTAATCTAAGAAGTAGCCGACCTTTAGAGTAGCCGCGGTTATAAGCGGTATGCTATAGAAACCGATATTGCCCCTCCTCCTAAACGCTCGGTAAAAGCCCCTAGTAAATACGAGGGGAGGTCCTTAAAAGAATACGGCGACTTCGTAATATCGTACGAAGTCGTATTCCTCTAGAATCTACGATCCTTCTAACGGGAAGCCGAGAAGTATATCTAGGCAATACAGTACCTCTCTAAGGGGTATACCCCGAGGGACCGCTAGTACGTATACTAGTAGCGGATAACCGAGGCCGAGCGTAAGGATACGACTTAGGATAACTTTAAGCAGTTCCTGCTTAACCTCCTAGACGATCCTAACGCTCGACTGCTTTAGGCTTACCTAGACTACGCGTCCGCTAAACAACGTACTAACTAGTCTCTAAGGGAGTTCCTAATATACCTAGAGACTCTCGAGGTATAGCTAGAACGGTATACTCTAGAACAACAGCTATACTAGTTCTTCGCCCGGTTATACCTAGAGACCCGCCGACGGATCGTCGATTATAATTCTATCTCTAAAATACGGGACGAGTTAGTTAACCTAGCGACCTAGATCGAGAAGAACTACCCGAGGACCTAAGGCGGTAAAGGGCGGACTAGTAGCAATAAGCTAAAATCCAAAGATCGAGATCGCCGGGGAGACGCTAGGGAACCGCGTACTAACGTAGCTAAAGCCCCGAAATCGGGCGCTACTACGAAAGCCGCCCTAGACAAAGGGGATTACTTAGGACTAAAGTGCTACAAGTACGGCAAGATAGGTTATATTCGCCTAGACTGCCCGTTAAAGCGTAGTAATCCTAACTGGACCCCTGTCTAGCTAAAAAACTAATTAGGCTCGTTACGAACACTTAGGACGCGATAGGGCCCCGACCTATTGAATCTAGGGACATTGTCGAAATAGTAGGAACTGTTATTACTAGCGAAGGTATAAAACCTATACAGGTCGCCCTCGATACGTACGCCTAGGTAACTACGATTAGCTAGAAGGTAGCGGTAGAAATAGGCCTACCCCGAATCGAGGCCTAACTTCCGTTACTTAGATAGCTATCGACCTACGAAACCTACTGCTACGGCGCCTACGAGTTCTAGTTGAAACTTAGCGACTCTAGTATAGACACCCGAACTACGAAGATTCTCGCCTACGGTATCGACTAGGACGGACCTTCTATCCTCCTTAGCCGGTATTCCTTAAAGACCCTAGGCATCGATATCTAGAACGGTCCCGGTATATAGCGATAGGGACTTACAATCTCTAGCTTCGAGAGGGTCTCCCTAAAGAGGTTGAAGCGCGAATCGAAGGAAGACTCCTCCTCTATCTATATAGTAGGGTAGTTACGCCTAGCGAACCCCTAGGGAGGTTAGGGCTCGACCTTCCAGATTTACGCGATTAACTAAGGCGAGGCAAAACAAGTCTCCCTGCCCGCTGTATTAGAAGGATATCGCTATATATTCGATAACGACTCCGCGGCGATCCTTCCGGCCTATAAGGCAACCGACTATACTATCGAACTGATAGATAGTAAGGAACCGCCCTTCGGATCCCTCTACTATCTCTCCTAGCGGGAGCTAGAAGTCCTCTAGGAATACCTCCGTAAGGAGTTAGAGTAGGGACGGATTATATATAGTACTAGCCCTACCGGGGCTCCGCTACTATTCGTACTAAAGAAGGACGGGACCTTGCGATTATACGTCGACTACCGCGCCTTGAATTCGATTACTATCAAGGACCGATACCTGCTTCCCCTTATCGACGAAAGCCTTACGCGCCTTACTAGCGCTAAGTACTTTACCTCTCTAGATCTTAAGGACGCGTACTACCGAATCCGTATCCGCGAAGGCGACGAATAGAAGACCGCTTTCAGAACGCGATACAGGCACTTCGAGTATAAGGTAATACCCTTCGGGCTAACTAACGCCCTAGCTACATTTTAGGCATACGTTAACCGGGCCCTCGCCGGGCTACTCGATAACATCCTAGTAGTATACCTAGATAATATCCTTATCTATACCTACTACGATAACATCGAAAAGCACTAGGAGGCGGTTCGCCGGATACTCGCTAGGCTAGAACAGGCTGAATTGTTCGTTAACCTAAAGAAGTATACCTTTGCGTAAAGCGAGGTATCGTTCCTTAGATTCCGAGTAAACCGTAAGGGCGTATATACCGACTCCGAGAAGGTCGCTACTATTACTAAGTAGCCCTCGCCGACCAACCTAAGGGAACTGCAGTTATTCCTTAGATTCGCTAACTTCTACTACCGTTTTATAGCCGGGTATACGAAGGTAACAGCCCCGATGACTAACCTCCTAAAGAAAGGCGAATTTTAGTAGACAGAGGCCGGGGAGGCGGCGTTTCAGGCGTTGAAACAGATGTTTACCTCCGCCCCTATACTCCGCTACTACGACCCGGCGAAGCTCCTACAACTAGAAACCGACGTATCCGACTACGGCCTGTACGGGATCCTAACGTAGCTCTATAACGACCGGTAGCACCCTATCGCCTTTACGTCAAGAAAGATGTCGCCGGCGGAGCGAAACTACGAAACGTACGACCAAGAGCTCCTCGCGGTCGTCTATAGCTTTAAGGTCTAGAGACACTTCTTCGCGGACGTATATACCCCGCTATAGGTATATACTGATTATAACAACCTAAGGGGTATCTAGACAGTATAGAAGCTGAACGGGCGATAAGCCCGATAGGCGGTATATCTAGGCTAATTCGACTTCGAGATATACTACCGGCCGGGGAAGACTAACCTAGTAGATAGCCCCTCGAGACGAGCGGACTATTAGACCGAGAACGACGCGGTTAATTAATTGCTGCTAACCCTCTAGTATAAGCTCAAATTGGCCGACCTAGGTATTGCGGTAATAGCTATACGAATCCGTAACGGTAAGGTTAGTATAGTAAGTAGCGAGGAGTCTACGACCGAAATTTCGGATACGCCCGGCGAACCTCCGGCGCCGTTACGCGATATAACTCCGGTCGCTAGTACTAGTAAATATATATACTGCGTACTACGCTTAATAGTAAGGATCCTACTCGCGAGCTAGACTGCAAGCGGCGACGTAGGGTAACCCTTTAGAAGTCTCGTAGCCTCGCTATAGCAACGGGACGAGTTCGTCGCCTATAAAAGGAACGAGCAGAAGGATACCCGGCGAACCCGCCGTAGTAAGCTAGACCCCTAGATGTTCGATAATAAGAACCTACTACGGTACTAAGGGAGGCTTTACGTCCTAAATAAGCCGGCCGTCCGAGCAGAAATTATAGCTAACTTCTACGACTCTACCCTCGCTAGACACTTCGGCGAAGACAAGACGCTAAAGTTAGTCTACCGCTCGTTATATTAGCCGGAGCTCCGATAGGATATAAGAGAATACTGCAAGATATACGATATATACCAAAAGGCTAAGGCACCTAGGACGATGCTATTAGGGGAGCTGAAATCGCTTCCGGTACTAGGAAATATATAGGAGGAGATCTCTTTAGATTTTATTACTAAGTTACCCCTAGCGAAGCACTACGGGGTAACGTACGACTCTATACTAGTTATTGTCGACAGGCTGTCGAAGATGTTATTGTATATTCCGGCCTAAGAAACGTAGACGGTAAGGGACTTTGCTAAAGTGTTTATAACGTATATAGGTACCAAATTCGGGCTCCCTAAGGGAATCGTTAGCGACCGAGGTACGCTCTTTACCTCGGTATTCTGGACTGAGATTTGTTACTAATACTAGATGAAACGACGGCTAAGCACCGCGTACTATCCCTAAACAGACAGGCAGACGGAACGCTAGAATTAGACGATAGAAGCTTACCTTCGGATGTTTACGTCTAATAGACAGGACAACTAGGCGTCCTTCCTGCTATACGCGGAATTCGTATACAACAATGCGGTATACGCGACTACTAGCGAGACGCCGTTTATAATAGTATATAGGAAACATCCCTAGTAGTCCGCGTTAGACGTAGACGTCTACTATAAAGGGGAGGCGCCGGTAGTATCGGATAAAGTCTAGCTACTAGAACGGGTACAAGCGGAAGCGGCGACTCGTATACAACAAGCGTAGAAGCGACAGTAGCGCTAGTATAACGACTACTATACTCTGTAGACGTTCGCTAAGGGAGATCTAGTACTCCTAAGTATAAAGAACTTGAAACTGACTTAGCCTAGTAAGAAGCTGTCCCTCAAATTCCTAGGCCTATTCTAGGTTGATAAGGTAGTCGGCGACAGCTAGTAGGTATACCGGCTGATCCTACTAAACACCTACTATATATACCCGGTGTTCTATATCTCCCTCCTACGACCCTTCTACAAAAGGCCCGGCGCTCCGCTAGCGAACGTAGCGTCCTCCGATATCGCCGCCGATAGTACCGAGGTATAGGAAGTAGACAAGATAGTAGACGAAAGGAAAAGGAAGGGGGAGACGGAATACCGACTTAGGTAGAAAGGGTACGATAAGGACTTTAATACTTAGGAACCTAAGGACAACTTCGAAAACATAAATAAGCTGCTAGATAAGTAGAGATTATCGCGGGTATCCTCTAAGGGAGCGAGCAGCAGACAAAAGAAAAGTATATAGTATAAGACAAACTATTACAACCCTAGTAGACCCCCGGCTACCTCCTACTAAATATGCCAAATATCCCGCTCCTTATACGCGAACCCCCGACGCTACCCTCTGCCGAAGGCGCTTCGGCTATAGCGTAGTCGCTTACTAGCACCGGCGTAGGGTCCCGGGTACCCCCCGAGGCCTTAGGCGCCGCGTACCGGACAAGACCCCTAAACTCGTAATTATCTAGGTATTCCTCTCGCTAGAACCCGTAATCTGCCTATATTATAGCCTATTAGCGGGCCCGGTACGGAGGCAACCGATAAATCTTACGTAGTAGTACCGGGACTTCCGCGTCTAGAAGAAAGCGACGAATGTCCCTTAGGACAGCTACTAACCTGTTATAACCTATATTCGATATCGACCGCGGATCGATATCGGGAATCTGATCCCCGCTAATATTAATAGCCCGACCCTACTCCTCCGGGTCGAAAGAGGACTTAACCTCGCGGCGAGGCGATATAAACAAAGGCGGGCTAGGGTAAGTTTCGGCCGTCGGGCTTGATTGCCGACGAGCCGGCGACGACGGCGCAGTTCTAAAGGCGGCAGGAGGTAACGGACGCGACAGTAGTATAGTCGCTAAGGGAGAGGCGTAGGTAGACTCTCGAGAAAGAGGGTTAGTAAAGCGAAAGGGAATCGCCGGGTATAATACTAGGCGTAATAGGCTTCGAGAAGCCTTACGTTCCGCAGGCAAGGGCGAGAAGCCTCGAAATAACGGCGTCCTAGAGACGCGAGGAGAGGCTAGAACGGGCGGCGCGATAGTAACCGATAGTACTGCGGGCGCCGGGGATTCACTTCGGAGGGCGCCCGTTATAAGGAGGTCCTTATCCTATAGGGGCTCTACCTCTAGCGGCGGCGCGTCCTCTATCTCCTAGTTATCGCTAACATCCTCCTCGTCGTATCTATTATCGAACCGACGTATTAGCTAAGGGTTCTTAATAGGGCGACCGCTACGGCGGGATGATCGGGGAGTTCCCCGGATTAAGCGCGACGACGGTAATATCGGAGCAGGACGGCTAGGTATCTAGCGCAGATACAGTGCCCGGTCTAAGGTAGCCGCGGCGATCCCCTCTAGGGTATTAAAATCGTATCTAGCTATATAGCCGGGTAATAGAGAGTATATAGTGTTCAAAGTACGACTACTGTACGGCGTACGAGGCACTATACGACCGACCGTCGAACGGCGAAGGGTCTCGCGAGCTACTAGTTAGCGACGAGCCGCCGGGGTACGCGCTAGTAAGTCTCGGATAGGGACCGCCGGACGAGCAGTAGGACGAGTAGTCGCTGTAGGACTACTACGCGGACGAGAGGGCGTATCGTCAGTCGAGGCGGGAACGATACTAGCCTTAGGTCGACGTAGGCTAGGAAGGGCGTCTCGAACAAAGTCTAGCAATACGGGACCCCGCTCTAGGGATAGGGTAACCTTGCGTACCTTCTCGCCGCGCCGACGAGAGGTTACTAGCGTCGGGACCGTAGCTGGAAGCTCCTTATCGTTAGACGAATATACTACGGGGCGACTACCCTAACGGCGACTCCGACCTATAGGGGGTGCTAGCAGGGTTGCTTAAGGACGGGGCGATACGCGGGGAACCGCCGGGGCCTCGTCTAGGCGTAATACTACGGTAGGCACTACCTAGTAGAACCTCGTACGCGTCTAGTTAAAGGCGTCTGCCGCGGTAGTAGAGGGACGCTACGATAGGGTTAGCTAGTACCCGAAAACGGGGAGCGTCGTTAAAGACTTACCGCTAACGACCCTTAGAGGCGTTCTAAGGGTCCCTATACGGGATAGCGTCCTAGCGAACGCAATTGCTCTAAGAGCAGCAAGCCTTAGTAGTCTTAGGTCGACTGTAGCGCGAGAGTAGGCCTACCTACGGTAGTCCCCGTACGGTAGTACGCTACCTTAATAGTATAGATCTCTCTATTAAGGGTTCGCGCTATAAGATAGAGGCGTACTGCCTAGCGACAGTACTCCTTGTCGCCCTCCGCGAGGGCGCGCGCGTCCTCTGCGGAGCTTGCCGGGTAACTAGCTATAATCTCTCTCTAGATCTTATTATAGGTATCCTTCTAGCGTTAGACGGCGATTACCTTGTTTGAGAGTCTTAGTACGGTTAGTATGCAAACTCGTTAGTAAGGCGAACCCCTAGCGAGGCGGACGGACACTTACCCTTTCTATACTATTATATCCTGCCTTGTTGTTGTTCGCGCAGCTATCGTATATACGGTATGCCGGCGTATTATACACTCGCCCTATAGCGATCGACTTTGCGTACCGCAGGTATATAGCTACGTACCCGGTTTCGTCTTAGTCGGCGTCCGACTAGCTATAGTCCTAGTTATTAGGCACTATATCCTTCATGTACGCGGCGGAGAAAGGAATCGTTACGTATCCCCGGGTAAACGCTATAATAGTCGGAGGGGCCTAATAAAGCGGCGGAGCCGGCGAGGGAAACTAAGGGACGAGGCGGGGCTGTAAAGAGTAAACGAAGAACGAGAAGTAGAAGTGTAGCTGTCTGGATACAGTAGTAGTAATAGAGCTGCAGGCGGGTAAGGATGTTGGTACGTAGTAGGTTGTTGACAGGAAAGGAATAAGAGGATCGTAGAACGCGCGACGAACCTATTAAAATATTCTATCTCTATAGCGACACTACCGCGTACTCCCGACTACTACCTACGGAATTCGCGACGCGACTACAAGCAAATATTCTTAGCGACGCTTTACGACAGCGCGAACATAAGAGGGAATTTGTATACAATGTTCACTAATGCTAAGGTATAGACATTCCGCAGGTATGCGCTAGCTCTACGCGGTACCTAGATAAGAGCAGACGTCTACCCCCGTTTATAGGGCGAATACGTAGGGGACTAATAGCCTGTCGCTACTAGGGACATTAGCCCTAAGAGGGGGCGTCTATAATACGCTAGGGCAGAGAAGCCCTAGCGAACCCCCGGCGAGGCGGGCGGGGCGTGCCGCGCGGGACGGGAAGCCCTCGCGGACCCCCGGCGATCCGGTATAGAAGGGATGCTCTACCGATCGGAGACGTTCTAAATCAAGAGGGTTCCTAAGGGAACCGGTTATCGGCTGCTGCCTAAGAGAAGGCGGTGCCGGTAGCGAGGAGTAGACAATAGAATAGCTTGTGTATATAGCAAGGGCCCTCCTCTAGGAAGGAAGGGCAGAGTTATTGTACCTCAGTTAGCAAGCCGTATATTGTTTATACCTTTTATACCTTGGACCTCTGTTACGTATACCCTTACGCTTATAGAACCATTACACATATATACATACTACGAGAAAAGCGTTATATAAGATAGTCTACCTTGTAATAAGTTGGTAAATATATTTTTAGTATAAGGCTGATTTCGTATAAGATTGAAATTTTGTATAAATCCAAATTTCGTATAAAATCAAAATTCTCCGTAGCAATACGTAAGGTAGGCTATTTCTAGTATAGGCTGTATTTATATTAAAAGCACTCTCTACGTAATACATTGTTGTATATAATACTTTATTATATACTATAGCTACGTCTGAATGTAGTTCTTATATATTATATACGAATTATATATAACTCGTACCTCTCTACCTACCTTGCCTAGCCTACCTACTACTATAATCTAAACTCTACCTTAGTCTACAGTCTCTAGTCTATACTATCTATCTATCTATCTACCTATCTACCTATCTATCTATCTATTTTGTCTATTCCGTCTATTATGTCTAATACGACTCTTTCGCGCAATCTAACCTTATTCTTTCTTCGTACCGCGTTGTTTTCCGCTACAGTTACTACTACGACGTACGGCTACTACGGATCCTCGAACGGTCGTCGCGTCGTCCTCCTATCCGCTATAGCTAGTATACTAAGTACTACGACTAGATAAATTCCGTCGCCTTAGGAGGTTGTCGTACTATAGAGATAGATCTATCGGCAGCGGTCTCGATAGGGACAACGTAAAGATAGTCTAGACTAATTGACGATAGGCCGGTAATAGTATACGGTGCCCTAGCGACGAAGGTACGCCGATATCTACTACCGAGCATATTGTTATCTCCGGCGCTATCGTCGGTTACAAGTACTATTCCTCGAACGAAGAGTCGGCGCTCCTTATTATACGTATAGACAAAGATCTAGTCGATTCGGATAATACTCTAGGTACGATCGCTCTAACGAATAAAGTTACCTATCTTGAATGTAATACGGCGCTAGCCGACCGGATCGAAGAATAAAAGTTTCTTATACTACGCAAACGTACCGGTAAATATAATAATCTACGGTTTAGAGTAGTTACGGCCGTATACTATAGACAGCGCCTTGCTGAATTCTAGGTAGTAATATAGTTAAGATACCCGGGTCGGGAGGCAGAGAGTATTATATACGTATCTATCTCGGCCGTATTAGCAAGGTAACTCGAAGCTATAACTCGAAGTTCTAGAGAGACGCCGTAGAGAGACGCCGTAAAGAGACGCCGTAAAGAGATAGATAAAGAGATAGATAAAGAGATAGATAAAGAGATAGATAAAGAGATAGATAAAGAGATAGATAAAGAGATAGATAAAGAGATAGATAAAGGGACGCCGTAAAGAGATAAATAAAGATAGATAAAGGGATAGATAAAGAGACGCCGTAAAGAGATAAATGAAGATAGATAAAGGGATAGATAAAGAGACGCCGTAAAGAGATAAATGAAGATAGATAAAGGGATAGATAAAGAGACGCCGTAAAGAGATAAACGAAGAGATATCGCCTACTTAGATTAGACATATCTAATAGCTATCGGATGTTAGTATTAGTAGTTACTAACTAGGCCGTCTAACTCGTCCTCGTCGTCGTCGTTAATAGCGTCCGCTTTAGGCCTCATTATAGGTACAACCTACCCTAGTAGGTATATAGGGTAGGTTAGGTATTAGCAATACCTAATAGGTATAGGTATTTAGCTAGGTATACCTAACCTATCGGGTTAGGTACAAACCTAGTAGGTATTACGATACCTAGTAGGTATTGCGTACCTATTAGGTATTGATTTTTCGTAAACAGAAAGAAAAAGCCTAGAAACCGAGTGCCCTAAGAGCAAGTTATTTGAACTAGGTATTAGAAAAGAAACTATATATAAGCCTAATATAGATAAGAGGATAAAGAGAGTAGTTAGATCGAATAAATAAATATAGAAGAATATATACGCTAGATTATAGCTTATAATATTTTGAAACTTAAGTACTATAGTCGGTAAATATAGTTAGTAGGTAAACTTTATATAAGCTTAAACCAAGCTCGCTATAATCGTCTCGTAGTATTCCGGAGGCACTCTTACGTAAGCTTAAAGCTTAGGCGTACCGATCGCCTTAGCTCCTCTACCCTATCTCCCTTATTATTGCTAATTATATCTAAGTTACTAATCCGTTCTATAAGATCTTTTGTCTACTCTCGGTCTTTACTTAGGATCTCCTATAAAGTTAGAGTACTAAGAAGCGCTTAAGCAGCCTCTATAGCCTCGTAGGCAATAAGAACTCTAGTATCGTACTTATCGTCGTAGTAGCGGAAACGGGATACTATTAGTTTAGAGAATGTTAATACGGAGTATTAGCGATTGAAACGACTTTAGTATCGAGCGATACTGAAATCGCGCTTATACCTAACTCCGGCCGTAGGAATATAGAGAATATCCTATACTATTAGTACGAGAGTAGAGTACTTAGGCTTAAGCGAAGACTATATCTTTAGTACCTCGAATAGATCTCCTTTATCTATATTAGCGTCTAGATAGTCGGTAAGCTCGTTACCCTTACGAGTACTACGTCGTTGAGTTTGAGAAGACTCTATACTCCTACTAAGAGTAAAGTCGATCTAGCCCTTATACTAACTACTTCTACTACGTAACTTGTAGGTAGAAGTGCTCGATAATAGACGATAGCTCTTCTCCTACTCTGTTCTTAGCTTACCCTCGTAATACTCGTAGTAACTTTTATCTCTAAAGTTATCGCGTACCTAGAACTTCCGCTTAAGGCAGGGGGTAAGGAGGATACTAATACTGTAGTAATCGCTAAATCGATTCTAGGTATTTCGATAATATTTCTTAAGCTCAGCCTAAGTAGCCTCGTATACCTAATATACATCCTTCTTCTAAGGTATCCTCTTATTCTTAAGTCGCTTTATCGCCTCCTCTAGAATGTCGAAAAGCTAGTTATAGTATACGAGGATAAGGTAGATAGTCGGACCTTTCGTTGTTCTAATCGTTGCTATCGCCGCTACGAATAGTTTTATAAGGTCGATAAGGTACTTAACCCTTTGCTACTCTTCGGAATCGATACCTATATCTTTACTTAGGTCGAGTCGATCGATATAAGATTCGATAACTCTTTGTAGTCTGCTAAAGCGATCGAGTATTAACGTTATTAAGGACTACCTTATCTTTACGTCTTGAAC